GTAGGTCCTAGAGGACTGTGACTAACAGGTTGGCTGGTGACCTCAGAGGTTGCAGGCTGCCTTAGCTGTTGTTTATGCAGGAATGTACTGAACCCTACAGAATCCCTTTCTGGGCTGTGAGCCATCAATCCTCAGTGTTCCTTCCCTCCCCACATCTATCAAATACCATATTCTCTCTGCTTTACCTTGCAAATATTGCTCCCACCACCCTTTCTTCCCACCTTCACTGCTCCTGTCCTGGTCAGCCAGGCTGTCCTTTACATAAACAGTGAAACTGCCTCCTTGCATCCTCCTTGGCTGCGCTCCCATCCCTTCCCTGCAGAGCATTTGCTTCCAAATTCAAAGCTGCTCAAGCAGCTCCTTGTGTAAAAGTCATGTGTGCTTTCTACTAATGCTAAATGCCAAGACAAAAATTTTATCTCATCCCATAAGGATGAGTGGTCTGCCCACTCAGGCCTCTCCACACATATCCTGCATTCCACCCTCCCCCACTTCCACTTTGCAGTCCAAGAACATGGTCTTTTTATTTTAAGTTCTTCAAATGGGCCCCACTGCTTTCTACCGCAGGGCTTTTGCAAGGCCCTCTGACGTTCATGGTAAATGCTACACATTCTTCAGAACTCAGCTGGGATGACATCTCCTTTGAGAAGCCTACTTCATTCCCTGCTAGACTGGGTTAAGTCCTCCCAGGTGGCAGGTGGTATTTTTCAAAAATGGTCATGGCAATATTTCAGGTCGTCCATACTATTCTAGAAACTGGTCACTCCCTAGATTCTGAAGTCTGTTTGCCCTCATCTTGAATTTGGGAGGGACTTTGTAGTAGCCACTGTGGAAAGGTTGCAATGGAAATGATTTTGTGTGATTTCTGAGGCTGAATCAGAAGAGACAATAGGACTTCCACCCAACTCACTTGCCCCTATCAGGATGATAGGTCTTGGAACCTCACTGCCATGCTGTGAGGAAGCTGAGGCTGCATGCGGAAGACACACATATAGGTGTTCTGGCAATAGCCCTAGTGTGGGTCTCAACCTACAGCCAGCAGCAACTGATAGACACATGAGTAAGTAAACCTTCAGAGGATTCCAGGCACCCAGCTGATACCAAGAGGCCAGAGAGGAGCTATCTACCACCCCTGCCCAAAGTGCAGACTGGAAGATAAAATAAATGCTCTCATTACAAAACTCTAGGTCTTCCGGTGGTTTGTTACACATTGTAATGAGAATGTAGAAACTATTAATTTTTACTTTCCCTTTGAAGTACTTGCTACATATATTTATGTGTGTGATTATTTTTGAACCCTATCCTCTTTTTTTTTGTTTTTTGTTTTTTTTTTAAATAATAAATTTTATTTTTATATTCCCCATACAATTGCAGCCCCCCCCCATTCTGACCCCAATCCCTCCCCTCCCGCCCCCGCCCCCCTAAAAATGTCTCTGGTTCATAGTTTTTTATTGATTTTGATTTTCACTTTCTTATAGTTATTCATTTTCCTGGTCCCTTATTTAAGTTTTCTAGATTCCTGCTATGAGTGAGACCATCCGGTATTTTTCTTTTCCTTTCTGGCTTATTTCGCTGAGCATGATCCCTTCCAGCGCCATCCATGTTGCTGCAAATTGCATGTGTTTATCTTTTTTGAATGCTGAGTAATATTCCATGGTATATATGTACCACATCTTCTTGATCCAGTCATCTATTTTTGGGCATTTGGGTTGTTTCCAAAGCTTAGCTATTGTAAACAGTGCTGCTATAAACATAGGGGTGCAGGTGTTCTTTGGAATTGATGTTTCTGTGTCCTTTGGGTAAATACCTAGGAGTGGAATTGCTGGATCATATGGAAGCTCTATGTTTAGTAGGTCCAGAAATCTCCACACAGCTCTCCACAGTGGTTGGACCAGTTTGCACTCCCACCAACAGTGCAGAAGAGTTCCTTTTTCTCCACACCCTCGCCAACATTTGTTGTTGCTAGTTTTTTTAATATGTGCCATTCTCACTGGTGTAAGATGGTATCTCATGGTAGTTTTGATTTGCATTTCCCTGATGACAAGTGATGTTGAACATTTTTTCATATGCCTGTTGGCCATTTGCATTTCCTCTTCAGAGAAGTTTCTTTTTAGCTCTTCTGCCCATTTTTTGACTGGATTATTTTCTTTGTTGTTGTTGAGTCTCATCAGCTCTTTGCAGATTTTTGTGATCAGTCCTTTATCATTAGTGTTGGGTGCAAAAATGTTCTCCCAGTTGGTGGGGTTTCTCTTTGTTTTTGTTATTGTCTCTTTTGCTGTGCAGAAGCTCTTTAATTTGATGTAGTCCCAGCTGTTTATCTTTGCCTTCACTATCACTGCTTTGGGTGATGTGTCTGTAAAGATGTCTTTGATGTGCAAATCACGTAGTGTTTCGCCTATATTTCCTTCTATATATTTTATGGTTTCAGGTCTTATGTCTAGTTCTTTAATCCATTTTGAGTTGATTTTTGTGTATGGTGTGAGGTAGTGGTCAAGCTTCATTCTTTTGCATGTAGCGACCCAGTTTTCCCAGCACCATTTATTGAACAAACTTTCTTTGCTCCAATGCATAGTCTTTGCTCCTTTGTCAAAGATTAGTTGACCATAAATATGTGGGTTTATTTCTGGATTTTCTATTCGATTCCATGGGTCTGTATGTCTGTTCTTGTTCCAATACCATGCAGTTTTGATGATTATGGCTTTGTAGTAGAGTTTGAAGTCTGGGAGTGTGATGCCTCCATTCCCTTCTTTTTTTTTCAGGAGAGCTTTGGCTATTCGGGGTTTTTGGTGATTCCATATGAATTTCATCAGTAATTGTTCTATTTCTTTGAAGAATGACATTGAAATTTTGATTGGAATAGCATTGAATCGGTATATTGCTTTTGGTAGGATGGCCATTTTAATAATGTTTATTCTTCCAATCCATGAGCAGGGGATGTCTTTCCATTTCTTTGTGTCTTCTTCTATTTCCTTTAACAGTGTTTTATAATTTTCTTTGTATAGGTCCTTTACCTCTTTTGTTAGATTTATTCCCAAATATTTGATTTTTTTTGTTTCGATAATAAAAGGGATGGTTTTTTTTATTTCTTCTTCTTCAGATTTATTGTTTGTGTATAGGAAGGCTACTGACTTTTGCGTGTTGATTTTGTATCCTGCCACTTTACTGAATTGATTGATAAGTTGAATTAGTTTTTCTGTGGAGTTTTTGGGGTTCTCTATGTATATTATCATATCATCTGCAAATAGTGATAGTTTGACTTCTTCTTTTCCTATTTGGATTCCTTGGATGTCTTTCTCTTGTCTCTGGCTAGGACTTCCAGTATTATATTGAAAAGCAGTGGTGAGAGTGGACATCCTTGTCTTGTTCCAGATCTTAATGGAATTGCTTTCAGCTTTTCACCATTGAGGATGATACTGGCTGTTGGCTTGTCATAGATGGCTTTTATGATGTTGAGGTATTGAACCCTATCCTCTTGAATGACTGAAAACTCTATGAGGGCAGCAGCATGGTCAGTTTTGTTCCCCATTCTATTTCTTTTTTTAAAAAAAAGATTTATTTATTTTATTTATACAAGCACTGGGTATAGTCAGAAGCACGGGAGGGTGAGAGAATTCACCAGAGCCAGAGAGGAGAGTAGAACAGGCAGAGTGATGAAGTACACTGCTGAGGGGAGCAGCGAGTGCAAGGAGAGGTCTGCGCGCCATGTGGGACCCTCGCCCGGCAGCGGGGGATTGAACCTGCGCTGCAGAGGCTGTGGGCAGCTTCGCAACCCGGCGCTCAACCGCTGCCCCACCCGGGAGACCCTCCCCATTTCTAATACCTAGCTCAGTGCATGGCAGATGATACACTCATTCCCAATGTATTTTCAGTACCTTTGTAGATATAAAAAGAGAAACAATTTGCTCAGTGACTGCACACTCATTTAATAAATGCTCACTGATGTAATTCTGTCAGGGACTTGAGTTAGAGATATAGCATGACATAAAGATATTGCACAAGGGAATGTGAGAGGACAGAGGAGGGGGCATTTGGGTTGGGTTTTGAAGGATGCATAGGGGTTTTCTGATGACAAGCTAGAACAAGGTTTTTGGTGAGGGAAATGGTATATGTGGTTCATAGGGCCCAGAAGCAGTCAGGCTGGGCAGGCATTGATAGGGCATTCTTCACAAATAGAGGGCAACTTGCCTGCGTGGAAAACCCTACACACAAAGGTCTGTAAGCACCAGGTACTGATGGCCTTTCGTGCTGACTGTGAGTGCTTAGATATCTCTCACAAGAAGTGGGAAGATCTAGATATGTGGAAGTAGCTGTGGAATGATCTCAGCTCTTGATAGTCCAGGGTTTGGAAAACTGGCTAACAGGTTCCTGAATTAGCCCAGGAGAAAGAGATTGGGATCAGGACTAGGGAAGTGAAGATAGGAGGTGTAGAGTAAATCAAGAACCATTCAGCGAACATTTACCTGCAGGGCTCTGTATTAGGGTGCTGTGCACCCAGACCCCATTGTCACATCAATCCTATAAAGCAGGGGTCCACAAACAATTTTTAGTAAATATATCTGTCTTCACAGATCTTAGGATCTGTCGCATATTAGTAGTATATTACTACAGTAGCCCATTACCAGCCAGACTTGATAGGTAAAGGAGAGGGTGTGCCTGTGCGCCAATAAAGCTTTATTTTTACAGAAACTGAAATCTGGATTTCATACGTTTTTCACGGGTCATGAAATGGTCTTCTCGTTTGCATTTTTTCCAACTTTAAAAATTTTTTTAAAAATTCTGAACCGCCTGGTGGGGTCGGACAAAAGCAATCAGTAGGTCTAGGTCTGCCCACCTGCGCTCTATAAAGCATTAGCATTTTAATTTTAGGAGTAACATCCTATAGAATCTCTCAGGGAGGTCCCCCCGCCCTGAGGTTTCCAGGCCCCGCCCCGGGGCGGGGCCCGCGCATGCGCCGCTGGCCCCCGGGCGGGGGCGGGGCTGGCCGCGGCTCCGATTCCAACATGGCGCACGCTGGCGGCGGCGGTCCCGGGGGCCGGGGGCTGAGCGGCGCCCGCTGGGGTCGCTCCGGCTCCGCGGGCCACGAGAAGCTGCCGGTGCATGTGAGTGGCGCCCCCGCTCTCCCTCGGAACCCTCGTCGTCTGGCAGCCGCGGGCCGACACCCCTCACCCTGGCCCCTCCCGGCCCCGCCTCGGCCTCCGGACTCCGCTCGGCCCGGGGTCCCCGGCGCCCGACCCCCCGACCCTTCACCCCTCACCTCGGCCTCTCTGAGGCCTGGCACGTACCCTTCCTGGCCAGAGACCCGCGACCTTCTTCCCCTCACCTTGACCCCTTGGAGGCCCGGTCCTTGCTCTGCCAGGGACCCCCTGACACCCCTCACCTTGGCCATTCAGAGGCCTGGCCGCTTCTAGGCTAGGAACCCCCAACCCCTCACCTGAGGCCCTGTCCCTACCCCACCATGACTCCCTACCCCTCACCTCGGCCTCTCGGAGGCCCTGTCCCTTCTCCGCCAGGGACCCCTTCCCCACCGCCACCATGGCCCCTTAGGGGTTCAGTCGTCATCTTCCGCACCAGAAACCCTGGTATACCCCCTTCCTTCCCAGGCGCCCCCATTCTTCCTCCACAGACCCCGGCCCACCGGGATCCTCCCTTTTCCCCCTCCCCGCAGGTGGAGGATGCCCTCACCTACCTGGACCAGGTGAAGATCCGTTTTGGCAGCGACCCCGCCACCTACAATGGTTTCTTGGAGATCATGAAGGAGTTCAAAAGCCAGAGGTATTCTTGGGGCTCCTCCCCACGCCCTGGGTACAGTCTGGCTGAGCTTGGTTGGAGCCCCATCCGGGCTGGGGGACCCGGTGACCTTCTTCAGGTCGTGGAATCTCTGTGAGCTTAAATTCCTTTTTTTTTTTTTTTTTTTAAGAAAGGGGAGTACTCCCCTTGTGGAGCTGTTGAGGGGTTTCTGGACAGGGGGCAGGATAGGGTAAGGTGAGTTGAAAAAACACAGGATCAGTTCCTGTCTTTATTGAAGATGCCGATGATGAAACAAATTTTGTTCATCAAGGATTTTTAAAAAGTAATTTTGATTTTTTTCGTACCCTGTTTTAAAATGTTGTTTATCTTGATTATTGAGTTTTTGGCACTCTCTGCCCCTCAGATCTTGCCCACAAAGTGAGTATCTCACCTGCCGCACTCTAATCCAGGCCTGTTGGAAGAATTGTGCATAAAATGCTTAGTAAGGGACCTGGCACACAGAGCATTTAAAACACATTAGCTGTTCTTATAAGCACCCACTCGAGGGTCACCATCACCCCCTTGTTTGACAGGAGACTGACAGAGGCCTTGGCAAGAGCCCTCTTTCCCCTTGGATTCTTACGCAACTCCCAGGCTTGCAGGGCTTTGGTATTTATGCATTGCCATCAGTTGCTGGGATCAACACCTGTGTCATAGTTGATCCCTGATTCATGTGAGAGGGAATTTATCACATTGTTTGCAGAGCTTTGGCCTCCCTTCATATCTTAGAGTCCAGGACTTATAGTCAGCTCTCCTGACTTTTTCAAAACTGAGCACACATGCTTGGAGTGTTTGGGGAGTTGTACTTTGTAAATAAATATTTGATGGTTCTCCCAGGAGGACTCAGGGAGCCCAGTCTAACAGCTCTGGAAGTAGATTGCCTTTGACAGATTACATGGTTGCATTTTAGGGTGCTTCCTTGTCATTCGAGAAGTTTGTTACATGGCACTATTGAAGGAATTAGGAGTGGATTTCACTTTCAGTTTGCCCTCAAATACACTCTTGCCCACTGGAGTCCCTCTCTGTTCCAGCATTGACACCCCTGGAGTCATTCGACGCGTTTCGCAGCTCTTTCATGAGCACCCTGACCTCATTGTTGGATTCAACGCTTTCCTCCCCCTTGGGTACAGAATTGACATTCCCAAGAATGGCAAGTTAAACATCCAGTCGCCTCTGTCAAACCAGGTATGCCACTGCAATGGTTTGAGTGATGTCCTTGTGACATGGGGCCTGGTACTCCTGTTGGGTAGTGCCTGCCTCCTGTATTGCATGGCTTGAAAGCTGGTGACGATTCCTTGTCTAGATGTACTAATGTCTCCCAAATCAGAATAGATTATAACACCTCCACAGACAGCCCTCTGTGACCCAAATTGGCTCATATGGAGGATTTGAATCGAGAGTGGATGTGTTTGTGTCAGGGAGGCATCCTCCTAACAGTTTTAAGTTCTGTCATATTAAGCAGAGTTTGTGGTCGTCATGGTCTCAGCTTGATGCTCTCCCTCTGAGCACACCAGGCAGGCCACCCTTGTCTTTGAGTGTATGATTGCTCTGACTGCCCTGGGTGTCACCTCGAGTGTAAATAGACACTTTCATTGTTGCTGTGCTCATTTAATTGCCGACAGGTTCATTGGCTAAGCTCAAACTATTGTTCCTTCTTTCCCTGTCTGCAGTCCCTTCTTGCTTGAGCTTATTAGCCCCTGTGATAAAGAAAGCCCATTTGAGCTTTGCTTTTATAAGGCAACTTTGTCTTTTTCTCCACCTCCGGCCAATTGCCATTTAAGGCATAATGCTTTGCTGTGGGGGGCTGTCCAGTATGTTGGGGCATGTTTAGTAGTATCACTGGCCTCCACCCATTAGGCCCTCATCCCATGGAGATAGCCAAAAATGTCACGAGACATTTCCAGGTGTCTCCTGAGGGAAGAACTACCTCCATTTCCTTTCCCTCTCTCCCCACAACTCCTTAGGGTGTCTCAGTGACCTTGCTCCTTCAACAATCTTAGTCTCTGTCCCAGAGGCTTAGTAAGGGAGCTAAGACTTTCTGCAGGAAGAATTTTGTAGGCTTCTACGCTGATGAATGAAATTGCAAAGAGGTGCATCAGTTAGAGGGTCACGATTTGGAAAGAGAGCAGTCAGGAATGTAGCACTAGTGACTGGTTGCACTCTGAGGGGGACTTGTGTGTCAGTCCTGCCTGCTCTACTTAAGGACAGCTCCACCATCAGCATGTTGTCTCATTAAGGCCCAGGAAGGCAGCTTGGTTTTGAAAAGGAACTTGGAAGCATACTATTGCTGAATTCCAAAGAGCTTGCATTTCACATTTGCAATTGGAGCCCTAGGATCCAGATGTGTGGGGCTTTGTGCCCTCAGATGATGAAAGCCTTAGTGCGTTTAATCTCAGAACAGTCACAGTTTCCATTGTGCTCTAAGAGCTGGAGCCGAAGACCTAAATTGCACTCCCCAAGTGGAAATCGTCTTTCTTAGTTCCTGACTATTGGAGTAGCTATCTGGCAGATCTTCACATGTACTACCCATGCTAGCATAGCATTCCCAAGGGCCCTTCCCTTAAATAGCTTTGGGGTCCCTGCTGTTCTGCACACACCTTGTGGGTTACTGTACCAATAAGACTAAGGAAGCAGCCAAATGTAGGCCCCTCCCTCAGCTGGAGAGGCACAGTCAGGGCCCTTGCCAGCCCACCCACTTTCAGTCAACATCCACAACCCTTCTAGCTCCCATCCCCACTCCTGAGCACTTGGGGCTGGTATTTGGACAGCTTCATTATGGCCGCAAGCAAGATGTCCTCTTGTCTCCCTGAGAGTCTTATGGAGCTTCCCACATAAAATACCCTGGTGATTTGTTTTTTTGTTCTTTTCCCCTCAATTTTACTGTTTTGACGTACAGCTTTGTTGTTTTTATTTTTCATCTTATGTATTTTACAGCCCATGGGGTATAGCTCTTAGGTACTGAGAAGAAAAATAAGGGAGTCCCAGGCTTTGAGGATTCTTTGTTGCAGGGGTTTTCAGCCTCAGCATTACCACCATTAAGGGGCTGTCCTGGGCACTGTGGGTGCTGACCAGGATCCCTGGCCTCCACCCACCTGATACCAATAGTACCCCCTTCTCCAGTGTGACAACCTAAAATGTCACCAGATGTTGCCAAGTATCCATGGGGGCAAAGCCACCAGCAGAACACTCAAGAATAACAAGGACTAGTGCCATGATGAGGACCAAGGACCATGCAGAAAGAATGTCCCTTTACTGGGGCTGCAGCCTCCAAGTCATGTCACTGTGGGTCTGGTCATCCATGCCTTAGTGGTGATGCTCTCTCCTCAGAGCCCCTCACCCCCATCTGCATTTCGTACTTTTCAAAATAGTAGAACTCAGAAAAGAAATGTAAAAAATCCACCTTTTTGGTTTGCCCTCCTGGGGAGACTGAGTCTTCCAGATCAGGATCATCATCTGTCTTGGTTACAACTGTGTCCTTGATTATGGACAGTGCCAGGCACATGCTGGAGAATGGAGACGCTGAATGTCCTAGAAAAGAAACCTGCTTTTCTATGTGTTACTGTGATAACAGCCAGCTTGGACACAGGTAAAGCAATGAGCCTTTAGGTGCAGCCTGTAACATGAGGGATGCTGTTACATTCCAAGGGAGACCCACATTTTCTAGTAGAGAGTCACTTAGAAGCATCTAGCAGATCACCTCACACGTCTGTGTCTCGGTCCCTAGAGAGCAGGAGTAACCCTCCTCCTCTCACCCAGTCCTAAGGTCTATCCAGAGTCCCAGCTTGCGAGGTGCTTACATGGTCAAGTGGTGGTACATGAGAAGCAAATGGTTGGATATGAAATATGTAAGTTCAAGTAGCAAGGGGCAGACCCCAGGTGAGGGGAGGGAGCTGGGCCTGTGGGGTGTCTGGGGTATGTTCCAAGTGGGGCATAAAGGCATGGGTGGGAATGAGTGGGTGTGCTTGAGGGGGGAAAAACAAAACAGGAAACCAGTGGGGCGGGAGAAGCAGGGGAAAGGGTGAGAGAGCGAGTGAGCCAGGAGCCTGAGAAGTCAGAGGAAGATTCTGGAAAAGCCACTGTGACTACTAGCTGGAAGTGGGTTGAGGGGCAAGAGAGGATGCGGAAGGCTAGGGAGAGCCTGGTATTATCCAGGTAGAGTGGCTGGTAATGCAGACTGAGGGCAGGGGTCAATGCTAAACGTTCAAGGGGATTCCAAGATGCCTGGGCCTCTGGGTGAAGTTGGCTCTGATGTGAGCAAGACCCAGAGCAGTGGGGTGGAGGCTTCTCTGTTTGGCATATGCCTTTTGATGAATAGTCTCTTAAATATCTCAGTGGGTCTTTGTGCGGACTCAGATAGATGTGTGGACTGTGCAGGGCAGCTGTCAAGTATTCAGGAAGTGTTTCTGACTACCTGGTTGAAGCCACTCAGGGCAGAGAAAAGACTGAATGATATTCTAGAAAATTTAGAGCAGAGGTTGGCAAACTGTTGCCTCTAGACAGAAGACTGCTGGTTTTTGTATATCTGGTGGTTTTTACATTTTCCAATAATTACCTAAAAAAAATTTTAAATTCTCATTGATAGCCATTTTAACGTCTAAAGTTAAGTGGTTTTCAGTTTATTTACAATATCATGCAACACTGCCATTGATTCCGAAGCATTTCTGTCACCCCCAAAAGAAACCATACTTGCCCCTCCCACAGGCCCTGTACAACCACTAATCTGCCTTCTGTGACATTTCACATAACTGAATTCACATATAACCTTTTCTGCCTGGCTTCTCTTACTCAGCGTCATATTTCTGGTTTATCTATGTTGCAACGTGTGTTAGGGCTTTGCTCCTTGTTATGACTGAGTGATACTCCAGTGTGTGGATGGACCATATTGTGTTCACCCATTCACTCATTGACAGACACTTCACATTTCATCAGTTGTGACTAGTGCTTCTGTGGATGTGTGGGCAAGGATTTATGAGTACTTGTTTCCACTTCTTTTAATACCTAGGAACAGAATTACTAGGTCACATGCTAACTGCGTTTAACTTACTGAAAAACCATCAGACTGGGCCACAACAGCAACCCCATTGCTTTCTGGCCCTTTCTGCTAAGCCATGGCCCGAAGAGTGGTTCTCCATCTTGCACAGGACTCATTCCAGGAATTGGAGTGGTGGGGAGATTTATGGAAGCACTCAACCTCTGCTGAAGCAAACCTCAGCTCCAAGGTTACTTGCTCCTTCCCCCTGCCCCTACCTGCCTCCTTTGGCTCCTTCTATGCCAAGCCTGTGCACCTCTGTACCTGCTAGGAATGTGTGTATAGACTTCTGTAAGCCTAAGCAAAGGTAATTGGCAAGAATATCTTAATGAATGGATTCCTTGCGGAGAAGAAATGATGTTTAGAAATGTGGCTGCTCTGAATTGTTTGTGTGCCTGCTTTCCTCAGCTCACACTTTCTAGAGCTGCCTCTACACCCACTGTTAAGGCCTGAATAGGGTAGACTACATCCCCAATTCTTGTTGATTTCCTGTCCCTCTCAGTACCCAGAATGTGACTATATTTGGAGATAGGGTCTGTACAGAGGAAATTAAGGTAAAATGGGGCTATTAGGATGCCCTAGTCTAATTTGAGGGCTGTTTGAGAAGATGAAACGTGAGCACATGAAAAGAGCCTAGGAATGTACGTACATAGACAGCTGACCACGTGAGGTCATAGTAAGCCAAGAGGCCTCAGGAGAAATCAGTCCTGCTGGCACCTTGATCTTGGACTTCTAGCCTACAGAGCTGACACAATAAATCTTGTTATGCAAGCTGCCCTGACTGGTGTTTTGTTGTGGCAGCCCCCAAAGACTACTCCTCTGGATGATCATGGGTGTGCCTGGCAATAAAGTCTTTGCAGGGTGTCAGTGGCCATCTTACTGCAAACTCTAGTTGGTGGTTGGTGCCAGGTGCTATGCTGGGTACCACAGGCAATGGAAATAGACTTGATTTGTTCCTTCCTTTGTTAATCTGATCTTCCCCAACAGTGGATGAAGCCCACTCTAGTCTAAGTACTGTTCAAGGCTCTGGGGTATAAGCAGTGGACAAAATAGAATTGGCCACTCTCATTGCATTTGCCATCTGGTCGGGGTGGGTGGGCTAACAATAAAGTAAGTAAAATATGCTACATGTAGGAAGGTGGTGCATGTTTGGAGAAGAATAAAGCGAGAAAGGGGCTCTGGTACTTCCTGGGAGACAGGTCATTTTTGTTTAGCACAGGATAGTTCTGGAAATCTTGCTTAGGTATCTGACCTAAAAGGATCCCCACCTGCTGGAGAAGCAGCCCCCATGTGTAGAGACGAGCAGGATGCTGAGGGTCACTCCTGGCAGCCCAGCTTCTATCATTGGGGCAGAAATCATATTCAGAACTATCTGCAGAATTCCTGTTTAGAACCTAAATGTCACTTGGGGTCTGGGAGGGTGGGAGGGGCTGTCCTGTTCTGAGCTAGTATTCCTGGTGCACAAGGGGATGTGTGTCTGTTTTGTTTTTATTTTTATTGAGCAAAAAGCATACAAGTGGAGGGCATGGCTAACAGGTAAGGGCCTGTCTTTTTGCACTTGATGACTTGCCTGGGGCCTAGCACCAAAAGTCCCAAATTCCAGGACCCCACAGCCCCAGGCAGTCTGGACAGTGGGCCTCCTCGCCTGCAGGGCCCCTATTCCATGCATCCTGACTTTCCCATCACCACTGACAGCAGGAGCTTTCACACTTGAAAACATTTGCTGAGATGGACTGGCAATGGTGCGGAAGACTTCCTTTATCAAGAGCCCAAAACTCTATTCCAAAAAGGATTAAATAATCTGATTTTTGTAAATAACTCCTGAATGCTAATTTTTCAAAACGTAGCATGTTGGTTAGACTTTTGTGTTCTTTGAATCAATTTGGAAGAATGAGATGGAGGTGAGTTCGTAAGATTTGCTCAGACAGCGCACAGACACCCAGGGGCTACTCTCTGCAAGTTTCCTGTGGCTTCTGCTTGCCTCCCTCCAGACATCCCCCGTAAGTGACCTTTCCTGCATCTAAGTGAAACCCTCAGCTTTGTGCTAGGTTTGGCCTGTTCTCACATAGACAGAAGTCCCATCTGCGTTTCTTAGTCTGTTTTGGGTGTCAGACCAACTAACTCACTGTGTGTTGTTGTCAGGAGAATTCGCACAACCACAGCGACTGTGCCGATAGCCTCAAGCAGCAGATACCATACAAGGAGGACAAGCCTCAGGTGCCCTTGGAGTCGGATTCTGTGGAATTCAACAATGCCATCAGCTATGTGAACAAGATTAAGACACGTTTTCTAGACCACCCAGAAATCTATAGATCATTTTTGGAGATACTGCACACATACCAGGTAGGGATCTCGGGCTGTCCTATGTGGGTGTTTGTGTTGTCACCCACTGTTTGGTACATTGGAAGCATTCCATTTTTGTTGTCTAAATTTATGAATTCCTGTTACATTCTTATTAGCTTTTTTGGGGGAGAGTGTATTAATTTTCTTTTACCACACTGAAAAATAGGTATCAAAACTTGCCTTTTTAACCATTTTTAAGTGTGCAGTTCTGTGGCATTCAGCACATTCACATTGTGTCACCATCCCCACCTTCCATCTCCAGAACTTTTTCTTCTTCCTAACATGAAATTCTGTCCCCATTAAACACACACGTCCCATGTCTCTCCTCCAGCCCCTGGCAAACCACCATTCTATCTCTGTGGATTTGACTTTTTCTCATATAAGTAGAATCACACAATATTTTTCCTTTTGTGACTGGCTTATTTCACTCAGCATAATGTCCTCCAGGTTCATCAGTGTTGTAGCATATGTTAGATTTTCTCCCTTTTTGAGGCTGAATATTATTCCATTGTGTGAATGGACCACATTTTGCTTATTCATTTAGCCATTGACAGACTGGGTTGCTTCCATATTCTGGCGATTGTGAATAATGCTGCTATGAACGTGGGTATAGATATAGTTGATGGGGTTCTATTAGTTTTGATTTTAATTTTCTCCTTGAGGCACCACTGTACCCATAAAAGGAAACACACATTAGAGGTATGTAAAAAGAACCTAAGAATATGGTCTTTTTATAGATGACTTACTGTTTAGACAGCACAGCTGCCCGCTATTTATGCTGATTACTTTATGCTCTGTGCCAAGCACTGGGGCAGCAGATGACTGGTTACTGCTACCTGAGGGTTTCATCTAGAAATGAAAGAGACCTAGAGATGATTGGGGTAGAAAAGAGGGATGTGTCCAGAAATATGTCAGAGCAAGTGGGTGTCAGTCCCACTGGGGGTCAGGTAGAGAATATTTAGGTTGACTCTTGACAAATCAGCTAAAACTATCAGGCAGGGCCTCCCCGGGCGCAAGTCATCAAGCACAGCACTGCGAAGCTGTCCATAGCCTCTGCAGCACGAGTTCGATCTCCGGCTGGCCAGGGAGCTGTCCACATGGCACAACAGACCTCTCATGTCTCACCTGCTGCTCCCCTCAGCAGTGTATTTCAGCCAGTCTGCCTGTTCTGCTCCCCACTCTGTCTCTGGTGAATCCTTCTCAATCCCTGCACCTCTGGCCTATACCCCAGTTCTTATATGCATAAATAAATAAATCTTTAAAAAAAAAAAACTATCAGGCAGATGACTAAGGAAGAAAAGGTAGATTCACTTGGTTCCAGGAATGGCCTGTGTGAAGGCCCAGGGTGAGGGAAGACATTTGATGGGAGATGCAGGCAAGCAGGTGGCGGCGAGGGACATCTGAGTCGTGCAAAGAACTCAGATGTCATCCTCACTCAGGGGTTTATGGCTTCTTCACAGATTCTATGGGGTCATCACATCTTAGAGCTGAAAGGATTGATGCAAGACCGGATAGTGTCTCTGGGAGCTGGAGAAGTCAGACATAGTTATGCATGGTCATAACGATGGACCCCAGACTCAGAGAACACTTGAAGGGCCAGATAGGATTGTGGGTCCTCCAGCCAGAGTCCCTAGGGTTGGTGTGGAATGCAGATGTCTGCACCTCAACTGGCTATGGCCAGCATCTGTTTTTAATGAGCTTTTCCCGATTCCTCACCACACTGCAACTCCCACCTGAGGTCAGTTTGTTCAGCAAAAGCTGGAGGTCTGACTTTTTGTGAGAATTATCTGGATTTTTAATAGACACCAAGCAGTTCAGGGCATGCAGCACCAGGTAAGGCTGTTATATGTTACTGTTTTTTAATCTGTTGGGCTTTGGTTTGGTTAGCTCTGCTCCCTGCCATATTGGACCCTGGCCCTTACATTAAGGTTTAATCCACAAAGTGCCCCCCTACCCCCCAAGGTCACTGATTAAAGCTCAGTACTTGCTCAGGTCAGTGAGAGCAGCTGTTATCCAGTGCATAACTTCATAACTACCTCCTGCATGAGCTTGGATGAGCAAGGTCAGTACTGCCTTACCCCACCCTTCAAATTCACACAGGCAAGGACTTATGGGATCAGGGCACAGTACTCAAAAACTCCCTTAGCAGAGAAGACAGGCTAAAAACATTAGTGCTATTGTACAGAATAATACGAGTCCTAAATCAATCCCAGCACTTCACGTTGGAAGAGACCTGAATTCACTTGTGGATATAAGGGTAGGAAGATGACAACCTGCATGTCCTTGGAAGCAAGTTTCCAGAAATGGGACAGAAAACTGTAATCCCAGATGGAGCCTGGCAGGTGACTCCTAACACTGAGGGAATGCTAGAAGTTGAGGGGTTTATGGGGGTGGCTCTCTGTGTCCCTGAGATTGGGCAGCTGGGCACAGCTTTCTGTGCTCATCCACTGTTGCTTCTGGACAAAACCCTGCACAAGCAAATGCAAACCCCACATGTTCAAATCCTTCACCAGGACACCTGTTATGTGCAAACAGATTTGCATGTTCGTAACAAGTTCTAGAACAGCACTGACTGTCTCTGCAAGAGGATTCCGGAAAGAGCATTCCCAAGTCAGGGTATGCGTGCATTATGTTTCCCAGCTGGTGCCAGGTTTCCCTCTACTGGGTGCCCCCTCTTCCTTTCTGCCTTGTGGTTTGAGAACATCCATTTCCCATGTCCTCATCAGAAATCACAGCATTTCATCTTTCACAGCACTGCTGAGGTGCTGCCGTAACTTGTATTTCTTTAAACATCTCTCAGTTTGCTCTCATCTCGTGTGTAGACAGATCATGTGTATTTATTTTCTGAAGTGTGTGGTCTTTGCCCATTTTTTTTTAATGACTTTCAGGTATCCTGATAAACCTGGGGGATTTGGGCATAGTAGTGTTTTTCCTCCTTGTAACTAGGTGCTGCAGATGAGGCACCAGGTTGGGGACAAGATCCTTCAGGGCACAGTGGGAGGGGAATGAGCCTTGAGGGCTCTCAGCAAAGGGCTGCTTTCCCTTAGCCCTGGAGGAATGGGGGCATCAAAGCTATGCCCTGTGCTCTGGGGCACCCTGGCACTGCTGCCTTTTGCTGTGTTCCTTTCTTGACTGTAAAGGTGACAGACACTTAAAGCAGGTCCTTGAATGTTATTTCATTTCAGTGTCATTTTGTTTCAACATTGATGAGAAGAAAAAGTCCCAAGCAGAGTTGGAGGAATTTACCTTATTCAAGAACCTGCATTTGTTACACAGTCGTTTCACTGAAAATCACATTTTTTGAGAAAACATGGATGATGTTAAATGAGGAATCGCTGTCTCTAATGGCCACCTTGAATCTGCTTACCACTTCCTGCTCTCCCAGCCTGGGTCCCCTTCCGTCCTCTCTGTGCCTTTAAACTCCAGGTCATGCCATCTTCCTTTCTACCTCATTCTTGGTGCCTCTAGGTCAACAAGGTCATGAGTCTATAAGTTGCTTTCCTTCCTCTTCAGCCTCTTCTCCTTCAAGGCCCATGCTCACTCTCTGCTCCCTTTGCTCTTAGGTGGGCTGTTGAGTCACCACTGACCTTGCAATTCACCAGCCTCTGCTCTAGAACACAAGGACTAGGGCCTATTCACATCTGCTCCACATTCCTGACACAGGTCATCCACGGCAGGTACTGTGGATGGGATTGAGATGCCACCACACACAACTGTTCAGAACAATGTCTAGCTTAGGGCCCAAGTTGACAGCAGGCCAACTGGCTAGACCCTTCTCTTCCAGTTGCCTTTGTGCCCTCTACCAGTTGATTCTCCTTCATGAGTCCTATCTCCTCCACAGGGACATGCTAAATGTCACAACTTGGGCTGAATACCTTGTTCCTTGGCTAACTACACCTTTTCCTTTTCTGGAAAATCACAGAAGGAGCAGCTAAGCACGAAGGGCCGGCCCTTCCGAGGCATGTCTGAAGAGGAGGTATTCACTGAGGTTGCCAACCTCTTCCGGGGTCAGGAAGACCTGCTTTCCGAGTTTGGACAGTTCCTGCCTGAGGCCAAGCGGTCCCTGGTGAGTACAGAGCTTCCACTTGACTAGGGAATCCTGTGCCTCAAGGCTGCCCCCAGGGCCAGACCAGGTTTGTCTGCCCCTCAGGTTGCTGTGGGATCCCCCAGAAGCCACATGGTATAGACATCCTGTCAGAGCATCCAAAGGGCTGCTCTATACAGAGTGCTGGGTGCTGGGAAGGTTTGGGAGCTGGAGAGCATTCCCCTCCCACCCCCGCCCATGGAGATCCTACCTGCAGCAGGACCCTGTGGGAAGTACATGGGGGCTCAGGCACATCCTCCCCCTCTGTGGGTACCCAGTAGTGGGAACTGAGGCTTGACAGTGACTTGGGTAGGGGGCAGAGAGCAGAGGAGGGTCCTAGATGTGGGGCACTCAGGCTACACCATCAGCCTTTCTCCCTGCTGTGGTCTCAGCTCTCCTGGCTTCTTTTCATTGTCTGTTTCTTTTTTCTATGAACTTTTTTTTAATTGAAGTAAAACTTACATAAAATTCACCATTTTAAAGTGAACAATTCAGTGACATTCAGTACAGCTACAGTGATATATAACCACCACCTCTGTCGAATTCCTGAACATTCCATACCCCAAATAAAGACCCTGTCCCCATTAGCAGTCATTCTTTATGCCCCTCCCCCAGTCCCTATAGAACCACTCATCTGCTTTCTATGGATTTGCCTGTTCTGGCATTTCCTACAAATGGATCACACACTGTGTGGCCTTTCGTATCTGGCTTCTCTCATTCAGCATCACGTTATCAAGGTTCATCCACATGGCATGTGTCAGGGCTTCACTCCTTTTTGTGGCTAATGATACTCTGATGTGTAGGTAGACTGTTCTGTTTTTATTTTACCGGTTGTCTCAGGACTTACTTCACTCATTTTTATGCTTGAATAATACTCCACTGTGTGGATGGATCACAGCGTATTCATCCATTTGTCCATTTATGGACATTTTGGTCATTTCTACTTTTGGGGCACTGCGAATAGTGCTGCTTGTGAACTTTTGTCTAAAGGATTGTTTATTTATTTATTTTTTTTTTATAGAGGCATGTTTTTTTATTTTATTTTATTTATTTATTTGTTTGTTTGTTTTTTGTTTATACAAGCACTGGGTACAGTCAGAAGCGCGGGAGGGTGAGAGAATTCACCAGAGCCAGAGCGGGGAGCAGAGCAGGCAGAAGGACCGAAGTACACTGCTGAGGGGAGCAGCGGGCGGCAGGAGAGGTCTGGGCGCCATGCGGGATCCTCCTCCGGTGGCCGGGGAGCAGCCGGGGATCGAACCGGCGCCGCAGAGGCCGCGGGCAGCTTCGCAACCCAGCGCTCAACCGCTTCGCCACTGGGGAGGCCCTAAAGGATTGTTTAAACATCTGTTTTCGATTTTTTTTTTTTTTTTAAAGATTTATTTATTTATTTATTTATACAAGCACTGGGAACAGTCAGAAGCGCGGGAGGGTGAGAGAATTCACCAGAGCCAGAGGGGGAACAGAACAGGCAGACTGACGAAATACACTGCTGAGGGGAGCAGCGGGCGCAGCAGAAGAGGTCTGTCGTGCCAGGTGGGACCCTTACCGGTGGCCAGAGATCGAACCAGTGCTGCAGAGGCTGCGGGCAGCTTTGTAGCCCAGAGCTCAACCGCTGCGCCACCAGGGGAGGCCCCTGTTTTCAGTTCTTTGGAATCTGTACCTAGGAGTGGAATTACTGGGTCATAGGGAAATTCTATGTTTAACTTTTCTGAGGAACTGCCAGCATGTTTTCCACAGTGGCTACACCATTTCACATTCTCACTAGCCATATTCTAGGGTTTCACTTTCTCTGCATCCTCACCAACACTTTTTTCTATTTTTTTAAATCCAGCCATTCTAATGGGTTTGAAGTAGTATCTCATTGTGATTTTGATTTGCATTTTTCTGATGACTTACAATATTGAACATTTTTTCATGTGCATGTTGCTTGTTTCATGTGCTTTTACATCTTCTTTGGAGAAATGTCTATTTCAGTTCTTTGCCTGCTTTTCAGTTTGTTTTTCTGTTGTTGAATCATAAGAGTCCTTTATTTATTCTGGACTCTACACCTTTATCAAATATATTCCTCCATTCTTCAGATTGTCATTTCATTCTTATATTCCTTTTTTTAATTATTTTTTAAATAAGATTATTTATGCATACAAGAACTGGGGTATAGGTCAGAGGTGCAGGGGTGAAAGGATTCACCAGAGATAGAGTGGGGAGCAGAACAGGCAGGTTGACAGACGTACACTGCTGAGGGGAGCAGCAGGCAAGGCAGGAGAGGTCTACTGTGCCATGTGGGTCCCCTCCCTGGACAGGGATCGAACTCGTGCTGCATTGGCTGCGGGCAGCCTCATAGTCTGAGCTTATCCCCTTGCTACACTAGGGAGGCCCCCATTCTTACTTTCTTTAATGCACATAAGTTTTTCCATTTTGATCAAGTCCAGTTTATTTTTTTTTTCTTTGTTGCTCATTCTTTTAGTGTCAAATCTAAGAATCCATTGCCACATCTGAGGTCATGAAAGTTTCCCCCCTATGTTTTCTTCTAATAGTTTAATAATTTTAGGTCTTTGATGCGTTTTCAGTTAACTTTTGTATATGGTATGAGCTAAGTGATCCAGGTTCATTCTTTTGCACATGGAGACCCAGTTGTCCCAGCACCCTTTGTTTAAGAAAATAAATTATTCCTGTTGAATCATCTTATTATCCTTGTTGGAAATCAGTTGACTATAATTATATGGGTTTTTTTCTCACTCAGTTCTAATCCATTGAGCTCCATGTCTGTCTTTATGCCAGTACCATTCTGTGTAGATAATGGTAGTTTACAGTAAGTTCAAAATCAGAAGTGAGTCTTTGAAATTTGTTCTTTTTCAAGGTTGTTCTGGCCATTCAAGGCCCCATGCAATTCATGAATTTGAAGATCAGCTTTTCCATTTCTTAAAAAAAGGCTAGTGGGATTTTGACAAGAATTGTATTGAATCTTGATTACTTTGGGGGATACAGATGGTCCCAGTCTTAGTAATGGTCCAAATTGGTGATCTTTCCACTTTCTAGAGGTGTGAAAACAAGATGCATTCAGTAGAAGCCACGGTACTGTCCTTGCTGTGCTAGGCAGCATTAGTGAGACACAGCTTCCAGTTGTTTTGTTAACAGGATTCAATTTATGATGGGTTTATTAGGACGTAACCGCATGGAAGATATTTACAATGTTAAGTCTTCCACTCCATGAACACCAGACACCCTTTCAGTTATTTGTGTTTTCTTTATTTCTTTCAGCTGTAATTTCTAGTTTTCAGTGCACACATCTTGAATCTCTGTGGTAAAATTTATTCTCAAGTATTTCAGTTTTTTTCATCCTATTTTAAATGTGGTTATTTTCTTAATTTCATTTTTAAATTGTTTGTCATTAGTTTATAGAAACACCAGTGAACTTTGTGTTTTGGCTTTATATTCTTTGCGGAGTCTATTAACTGTAATGATTTTTGTGGATTTGTTAGGATTTTCTGTATATCATGCCACCTGCTGATAGATAGTTTTCCTTTGTCCTTTCTAGTTTGGATGTCTTTCATTTCTTTTTCTTTCCTAATTGCTCTGGTTAGGACTTTAGTCCTGTGTTGAATAGAAATGGTGAGAGCAGACATCCTCATCTTGTTCCTGACCTTACAGGAATATTCTTCCATTTTCTGTCTTGCGTGTGATGTGAGCTGTGGGTTTTCATAGACATCATTTATCTAGTTGAGGAGTAGCTCTTCTAGTCCCAGTTTGGTGAGGGTTTCATTCCTCTTTTCCTTCTTCCTCTCAGCCCTTGATGACCACTGGGGTGTGAGCACATGAGGACCCCCAACCTCCACGTGTCCCTACTACCTCTCCCAGGTTCCACTTCTGAATAGAGATGCCTTAGGGTGACAGGTCAAGGGCAGCAGGTCTTGGAGGGTTGGTCTGGGGGACTGGGGAGTGTGTGAGAAAGGAGTCTAAGTTTGGACCTGTTAAGACTCTTGGTCAAATCAGGCAGCTCACATTGCATCACTGCATCTGCAGGACAGAGTGCTGACCCTTAGCTGGGATTCCTCCCAGAAACACTTTCAAACTCAGTTAGAGAAGCTCTGTGTCATCTCTGGGGAAGACATAAAGTCCTGGAGCTGTAGCCCATCCTTCCAATTTGCCTAGTGCCTTGGGTGTCCTCAGAGGTTGTCAGAGCCCCTGTGAGCACCAAACTGGGCTGTGGCACTTGCTTGGCCTCTTTGTGTGCTGCGGGTGGGTGTGAGCCAGTGGCTCACCTCCTGGACCTCATTTCCTGCTCTCTTGCCTGAGGAATCAGTGGTCCTCCTGTTCAGGTAGGGAGTCAGCGAGCTGCTGTCCTATGGTGCTTCCCACAGACCTGGCATGTCACAGTGTTTCAAAGGAGTAGCTGCAGTTTTGCAGAAAATCAAACGTCATTCTGTACAACAATGACATCCCCCTAGAGTGTCCACCTTTGAGGGCAGAACCTCCCTCTGCATTCCCAGGCTGGCTGGATGCCCTCAGGTAGTACCAGGAGGATTTCATGTAACCCTGTTCTAGAATGCTGCCGGGGACGGGATGCTGGGCCTCTCAGCCTAGCCCACCTATTCAAGACCCCACTCTATTGTCCAGATTTCTTTTCCAAGTTTACTGTCTGCCTCTATGTGTCTCTGAAGTTCAGAACCTACCTGGATTCTTTTTTTTTTTTTTAATGCATAGAAGACCTGGGGTGTAGGCCACAGGTGCAGGGCTGAGAAGATTCACCAGAGACAGAGTGGGGAACAGAACAGGCAGACTGACTGAAACACACTGCTGAGGGGAGCAGCGGGCAAGACAGGAGAGGTCTGCTGCACCCCCCCTTCTTGATTCTTTTCTCTCGTTTCCCAAATTTGTTCTTTGTGGTCTGGTTATCACTCTGCCGTCCTCCTCTCTATATACTCCTGGTTGCCAAGACTCCTAACTTTAGTTCCAGGGACCACATGGCCACAGGGAGCAGGCGTCCCACTGCCTACCTCCCATTCACTCCCTTGTGAGGCACAGTCTCAGACTGTGATGCTCAGGCATCTTTGTCTCACTGTGAAACCCCAGCTTGCCCCTTCATGTGCTGGGTCAATCATCTCTGGATCCCATCCTCTTGGATCTGGTCTTGCATCTCAGCTCTGACCTCAGTGTTCACAACTCTTCTTCTGAACCCCAACCCTGCCAGGAGCTGGCCTTTGCAGAGTCATCACTATAGGAGCTGAGTGGTCCAGGGGGACCATGACCTCAGGGGTAAATGACTGAAAGACCTGGCCAAGTCCTAGACTAGCCTGGCTGTCCTGGCAGGGTCCAGGAGCCAGGACATCACGGTCTTCTCATCCTAGGGAGGCTCAAGAGCCACTGGCCTTAACAGGAGGTGGGTGGTGCAGCTCCTGGAGCAAGGGCTCATGGTAGCATTTGGTTGTGCCTGACTTTGTTGCCTTTTCACTGTGAGAACCTGGCAGATCTCTTAAGCCCCCTCATCTACAAAATGGTAATGAAGTTTCTCCCAGGTTTGTCAGAGTATTCCTTAGCAAAATGCCTGGCCTGCCAGGAAGAGTCCAGGGCTGCATGCAACATCCAGCCTTCGCTGGCTATGAACACCTTCACAGAGAGTCGGGAAAGTAGGTGGGGAGCCCTGTCTGAGGACAGGGTACCATACAGAAACACTGTAATTGGTAAACCTTAAAAGCAGTCCATGGTGCTTGCCTGAGCTGTGCAGTTCTATGGTCTGGGCAGCCTTAGTGCCCTGGATTTTGCTAGGGGTGGGGGTGGGGAGGGGTGGGTTGTGCTGAAAGCTCCCCCTGGTGGGCATGATTCAGCATCTACAAAGTTGGACACTGACAAAGCTGCCCTAGAAAGGTAAGCCTTTTCAACAAGAAACTATCTGGCAGTGACATTTGTTATCAAGTCAGCAATGTTTTTAAGTGTATTTTAGGTAATTAGGGTTATCTTTGTACATTTTAAAAAACTGACTCAGTTTTTACAGTTAAAAACACCCATATATGATTAGTATATAAAATGAATTTGAATTTCTGTCAAAACTGCAGGACCGAAAAATGAAGCTTGATTTTATTCTAATTAAAGTCAACTATTCAACCAAGATCCAGGGGGTCAATAAAATTCTTCTGTAAGGAGCCAGACAGTAACTATCTTAGGCTTTGTGGGTCAGCAGGTCAAAGCAGTCTTGAACCAGAAACCACTGAATGGGCATGACTCTGTGCCAATAAAACCGGTTATTTACAACAAGCTAAGCGCTTTGAATATGCTGGCCCCCAGGTCTTCGGGGGTCCATCTAGTGCATGTGTTTACAAATTGGGACATTTAACTGAAAAGTAAGAACTGTCTAACTGTTAGGGCACAGTGAGTGATCTCTCTGGCTGAGGTGAGTGTGACTGCACAGGCAGTGGTTTCCCCTTGAGGTCCGCAGTCCCATACTCTGCTCATGTCATAGCAACCCCTACATGTCTCTTACAGGAAATAGCATGTGCATCTGTTCTAGGAACTACAGAAAAGAAATGCCAGTTGAGCATTTTTCCACTTAAAGATTTGTGAAGTAGCTTTGAGTCTTTGACCAACTGTTCTCCAATTAACTATAACCCCCTAAGGGACAGATTTTGCTGGTGGTTAAATGATAGACCTTTGTTGTTATAACAATACATACATACTTACGGGGAAAAAATCAAGCATTAGTAAGGGTACCAAGTATGGAAAGTGAACTTCCTCTTGTCCTCAGTTTCCCAGTTACATTCCTCAGTTATATACTCTTTAGTGTCTTTTATGTATGTATCTTTTCGGAAATTTTCTCTGCATGTGCAAACATATTTATCTTTTAAAAAAAATAAATGGCTCTTTGTTCTATCCCTAGGGCTTTTTTTTTTTTTTTTTTCCTCCTTTTCACGTAACTGTGTATCAGGTACATGACCCAGAGACACCTGCTCATCTGAGAGTTGCTGATTGCTTTGGATACGTCAGGACTGTTTCACCTGCCCACACTTGGGGCCAACAACATGCCTTCTGTTGTGTTTCTGCACCAGCTCTTGTGGTGGGCACATGGTTCGGTTATAGAGATCGTTCAAAACATCATTTGGGGCTTTACCCATAGTGTAGAAAAGGTCTGTCTGCCTTTTCCCTGCCTACTCTAGCTTTAGGGTGCATTCAGGGAAATGCAAAGCCTGAATAGATTCTTCCAGAACCATTCTTTGTAAATATTGCTATAAATACCCTTGCTTGGGATGAATGTCCCTAACCTCATGGTTAAGCTGGCCTCAGGCCTGGGAAGATGACCCCCCCCCCCCATCTAGTGATTGCCCACAAAATTCCATTTTCTCTTTCACAGAAAGGAGCATGGACTTGTCTAGAAGAGTACCCCCAAGGTCCTCCACCCCTCCCCAACTTCCCCATGATATCCTCTTTGTCTCAGAGCATTGTGTATGCCAGTCCTCCTGCCTGAAATGCCTTTCCTTTCTGTGGTGCTTTCGAATATACATTCAGACCCCCATTGTCAGTGGCCTGCTGGGTGATGCCTAAACAAGGGCCCAACTCTGGTGTCTCTGCCCACCCCCAGCCCTCCCTGTCTCCATCTGGACCCTCATCCACAGGGGCCTTCTGAGAGCCCTCGCCAGCCTCATGATGCTACCCCATGATGATCTGGGTACTTGGTCTCTCCCCCATGCATCTTGGGGACAGAGTCACTTTGCATGCAGGTTCCAGGACCTCTGGCCCCTAGCGGGCAGTGTGCTGGGGCCCTGGGCTGAGCAGAGGCAGTCCTATGTATACTCATACCTGGAGATCAGTACCCTGGCCTGGGTGTTTCCCAGTGCCATTCACCTCCTATGTGTATTCTCAGTTCACAGGAAATGGGCCATGCGAAATGAACAGTGTCCAGAAGAGTGAACATGAGAAGAATCTGGAACACAGCAAAAAGCGCTCTCGGCCCTCTCTCCTGCGTCCTGTGTCTGCACCTGCCAAGGTAATCCTTGACTGTGGGGTGCTCCAACAGCCTGTCCTCTGTAGGTGACCTGAGGAGCAAGTGCAAAGGCCTTGAATGCCAATTGTTAACCCTGATCTGTCTTCAAATTCACCAGATATGGGACTTTGGGAAGTTGCCCACCCCTAAGGTAGTCATTCACAGAGCTCCTGGCTCATGAGAGCGTCATGAGAAGGAAGGAGCACTCCCTCCTGTGGGGATGGATTATGTTGCTCAGTCTTTCCTTTTCTCACCTTCACAGTTCTTTCACTGTGAGGACTATGATGGACAGTTGTGTGGGTCAGTCACTGCACAAGGCACCCCACTGAAGGGAGAGAGGATGAGATCCAGTTCCTGTTCCACTCACTACCCTAATTCCATCATCCCTCATGCGGTTACTAATTGGCTTTCTCCCTTAAGGAAGATGTTTCTTTTCATCCCCACTTACATAGTTATTTCTGTCAGTCTGGATTCCAGTTTATAATCCATGACTGTCAGTTTATCTTGATGCCCAACTCTTCTTAATTTGACCAGTGGGCCCTGGAAGGTGACTTCTGTCACCTTGTGACATATCCTCATCATTCCTTAGGCACTTTGGAGAGGGTGTGGACTATACAGTAGCTTTCTTCATTCCTCAAGAATGTGGCCAAGTTCAGATCCAAGTCCAACTTAGAAACAAAAGGCTTCAGAGACTTAAAACACAGTCCTCCCAGTGCTGTTCCCATTCAGTTCCTTTCCCATCACCATCACAGCCCACAGGACAAAACAGACAGGGAGAAGTTTCTGATACTGTATCCTAGGGTACCTCTTCCTGGCTATTCTGACTTCATGGTGCCCTGCCTATTATCAGAACCCTAAACTGCTGATTTAAATCCCAGAGTGTGGGTGGGGAGGTCTTGTGACCTTCACCCTGTACCAGGTAATAGAGGCCAAGCTGGTCAGTTCTGAGAGGTTCGTGCACAGGGGTCCTGGGAAGAACTCACACCGACCTCATGGCTATTTCAGTGCTGATGATATTGTGGCTCTGACAGAGATGGACAGAGGAGCTCTGTGGGGTGCACAGAGCATCAGCCGTGCATAATTTCTTTCTGCAGAAGAAAATGAAACTCCGTGGTACCAAAGACCTGTCCATCGCCACTGTGGGCAAGTACGGGACCCTGCAGGAGTTCTCCTTCTTTGACAAGGTGCGCATTCTGCTGATGCCGCCAACCACCCCATCTGGGCTGACCTGCCCGGCTCAGATCTGCAGGAAGGAACTCTGCAAGGAAGGGCGGGGGGGGAAACATTTGGGGTCTGGGAGGAGGTACTGGCCCCCAGCTCTCACAGCCACAGGTTGTATAGTCATCATCGAGCAGGTGGAGTGTGCAGCAGCTGCAAGTCAGGGGGGTTTGAGGACATACCAGCCCCACCAATGTAGGCACAGTCCCAGGGCTCCTGCCCAGGCCCGTGACAAGAGCCAGCAAGGTGACTGCATACACCAGAGGTCGGGCCTGGGAGCCTCCTGACTTGCCGTCCCCACAGGTACGCAGGGTGCTGAAGAGCCAGGAGGTCTATGAGAACTTCCTCCGCTGCATCGCGCTCTTCAACCGGGAGCTCGTGTCTGGCTCTGAGCTCCTGCAGCTCGTCAGCCCATTTTTGGGGTGAGTGACCCTCTCTTGCTCCCCACCTAGGTTTCTTTAAACTCTGTCCTCCCTTCTGTTGGGCATTATTTTTGAAAAACGACTCTGTCATTGAATGGAAATAGCTCTAGACATGCATATAGATTCATCAGTACTTGTATAAAGAACAGACGTTAGGAAACCTTGCGTATGTGCCTGTGTGTCCATGTACTCCTCACTCATCTATAAAGGTTCTTTGTCCACTAGCACATTTGAGATGCTGACTGGCTCCTGCATCTCAGAGATCCTGCTGCCCACTGCAAACCCCGACAACCATTGATCTGTGCACTACCTCTAAACTTAATAACAAAAGTGTCACATAAACACAGAGGTGAAGTGTGTGACTTTAAGGGATCAGTTTGTTTTTTGGTTTTTTTTTAATAATAAATTTTATTTTTATATTCCCCATATAATTGCAACCCCCCCATTCTGACCCCAATCCCTCCCCTCCCGCCCCCCACCCCCCAAAAAGTGTCTCTGGTTCATAGTTTTTGTTGATTTTGATTTTCACTTTCTTATAGTTATTCATTTTCCTGGTCTCTTATTTAAGTTTTCTAGATTCCTGCTATGGGTGAGACCATCCAATATTTTTCTTTTTCTTTTTGGCTTATTTCACTAAGCATGATCCCTTCCAGCGCCATCCATGTTGCTGCAAATTGCATGTGTTTATCTTTTTTGAATGCTGAGTAATATTCCATGGTATATATGTACCACATCTTCTTGATCCAGTCATCTATTTTTGGGCATTTGGGCTGTTTCCAAAGCTTAGCTATTGTAAACAGTGCTGCTATAAACATAAGGGTGCAGGTGCTCTTTGGAATGGATGTTTCTGTGTCCTTTGGGTAAATACCTAGGAGTGGAATTGCTGGATCATATGGAAGCTCTATGTTTAGTAGGTCCAGAAATCTCCACACAGCTCTTCATAGTGGTTGGACCATTCTGCACTAAGGGATCAGTTTTTTTTACCCAGCTTGATTTCCTAGAGATTCACTTGAGTATGCTTTCTGCAGTTCTAGTGATCAGAAATGCAAGGAAGCAGGAAGAGTGTTTGGCACCCCTGTTGTCCAGAGAGAGCCCAATGGTGTAGCCATGGGAGGGTGGACATGGTCCTGGGACACGCACTCACATGCATGGTAGATGCACAGTGTGTTCTAGTAGCAGGTTTGTCAGGCCCCAGGGTCACTTTCCACTCCCCCTCCCTGCCATCTTGAGTTTCTAAGCTGGTTTGAGCCCCAGCTTCCCTGCTGTAAAGTGGGAATCAAAAACCTACCTACAGAGTTGGCTTTCTGCAGTGTCCTACTTAACCCTAAAGATACCTCAGGGCAGGTGCTGTCTGATCCCCATTCTATTTATTATAGGATTTTAACAATTTTTTAATGTAAAATAAAACAGATGCAAAAATCCTCATGACAGAAGAATGGCTTGATGAGTTGTTATCAGACACATCCCCTGTGTCTACTCCCAGGTCACAAATAGACCCTTGCTAGCCCCTGGGGTCCGGCCACACCGTCCTGATCATGTTCCTACCCCCAAAAGTGCTGGTGTGGGAGGGACTATACCTTTGCACTTCTTATGGCAGACCCAGACTCTTCTAGACTCTGTTTACATGTGGGAACTCTGGACTGGGTTTACCCAGAGAGTCAAAGAAGGTCATCAGGGTGATGAATGTGTTGGGGTAAGAGTACTACAGAGTATTCTTGATGCCCAGCTATAGCCTCAGACATTCTCTGCACAAATTTTATTTCTGTCTTCTGTCCCCACGTCTTGTTTGCTGTGGTTTTCCTGATGAGTTGAGTTGGTACAGCATGTTTACAGGTGGGGTTTAGCAGATGGCCTTCTTGTGGGGCCTGCAGGGAGCAGCAGGGGTAGTAGATACAATTTTACAAAGGGAATCTGGCTGGCTGCAGGTCACTTGCATTAAAATCACCCCACAGACGTGCATAGACATTTTGTTACTACTCATGAGTATATGTCCACAGTGGGTTTTCCTTGAAAAAGTCTCCTTCAAGGCAGAAGGCTTTGGGGCAGAGGTGACAGACTTTATCTGTCAAGGGCCAAGGATTGAGATTACTCAACTCTAGCCTCATCCTGCACCTGTAGCCACAGATGATATAAGCAAGTAGACATGACTATGTTGATAAAACTTTATTTACAAAGGCAGGTACCTGGTGGACACCCACCCCAGCCTCATGGTCAACCCTCTCCTCCAAGGAGAGCTGGCCCCAGTTCTGCCAGTCTAGGTCATCTCATCCAACATGTTTCATGTCCTCCTGTGAGTGGCTAGGCCTGGCTGGTGACAGAGGGGCCAGAGGCAAGTTCACATGTACATGAAGACTTGTAGTGGTTTACTCATGTGACATTTGGTTTGATCCACCTCTCGCCTCTCCTCTCTCACATTGAACTCTGACCATTTTTAACCACAGACATACTTCTAATGCAGCCATTCTAAAATCTCTGGATTACTCCCAGAAGACCCCAGGACGCTGACTCACTATTTATCTTTGTTTCTGAAGGAAATTTCCAGAACTCTTTGCACAGTTTAAGTCCTTCCTGGGTGTGAAAGAACTGTCATTTGCCCCACCCATGAGTGATAGATCTGGGGATGGAATAAGCCGGGAAATTGACTACGCATCGTGTAAGCGCATTGGATCCAGTTACCGAGCACTTCCCAAAACCTACCAGCAGCCCAAGTGCAGCGGAAGGACAGCCATCTGCAAGGAGGTATTGCCCTCTGGGGCTCACATGGGCTTAGTGGCACATAGCCCCACCCCACCAAAAAAAAAACATTACCCTTGCTATACATGAAAGACTGAGTGTCTCCCCCAGATGTTGAATGATGGGTGGTGCTGGAATGTGACAAAACTAAATGCCTGAGTAAAGGTGACAGTTTCTTACCTCCTTGGTAGTTTTGGCAAGCAACAGAGCTTCCAGTTTAGGGTTTGGCTTATTCCTCTGTTAGACTAAATAACTGTTAGTTAAATTCTTTCTGCTGTGATTCCATTTTCCCATTTCACCACCTTCTGTTTCCATTTAGCTTGATGGTTGAACTCTTTCAGGCTTAGTGGACAGGCTTATTACTTCGATTCAAGGATTCAGAGTGCCTGCTGATTCCAGCATAAAGTCCAGGGATGAAATTGGCCACATTGCCTGTGCTTGTAAATAAGGATTTTTTTTTTTTTTTAAGATTTATTTATTTATTTATACAAGATCTGGGGTACAGACCAGATGCACAGGAGGGTGAGAAGATTCACCAGAGCCAGAGCGGAGAACAGAACAGGCAGACTGACGAAATACACTGCTGAGGGGAGCAGCGGGCAAGACAGGAGAGGTCTGCCGCACCATGTGGGACCCTCGCCGGCTGGCCGGCCGGCATCAGAGCGGTGCTGCAGAGGCTGCGGACAGCTTCACAGCACAATGTTCAACCACCTGCGCCACCAGGGGAGGCCCTGTAAATAAGGATTTTATTGGCTCACAGTCCTGCCCGTCTGTTTTCATGTGGTCTGTGGCTGCTTCACTAGATCAAAGGCAGAATTGAGTGATCCCAACAGAGACCCAGTGACCAGTGACCTAACATATTTACCAGACCCAGTGACCTAATGTATTTACCACCTGGCCCTTTATAAAGTTTGCTGACTCCTGATAGTATAATTTGTTCACATCCCCAAAGTCATGTTTTCTCCTAAAACCACTTTAAAATTAATTTTACTGTGTACATGATAAAGTGATTTTTTGTAAAATAAAGATCCCATTACCATCCTCACATCTTCCATGCTGGAGGACACAGCACATACCGCTGGCCGCTGGGGTTTGCCATGCTGCTCAGTTTTGTTCTTGGTGCAGGTGCTGAATGACACCTGGGTCTCCTTCCCCTCCTGGTCAGAGGACTCCACCTTTGTCAGCTCCAAGAAGACACCCTATGAGGAGCAGCTGCACCGCTGTGAGGACGAACGATTTGAGGTGCGTGTACTAGTGCTGTAGATGCCCACCGGGATAGAGTTTCTGGGTACTTGCCGTTCCTTCCTGCTCTTTCCCTCTCTTGAAATGGATCCTTGGTCTCTTTACTGCCCTCAGCTCCCTTTGCGTGTCCAGGATTCCAGCTCCTTCCAGCAGGGGGCAGCTTCTAAAAGCTTGCCTACTTACGGGCTGACTCACTGATAGTGCTTTATTCTTTTTGTTTATAAGGGAAAAAAAATTTTTTTCAATTAGCAATAATCGCGCCTCGGATAAACCTCATTGGCTACGATACTGCCACTGCGCAAAGCTGGGAAAAAAATTTTTTTTGAACTTAGTTTGATTAATATTAGGTTAACTGAAGTTGACTTTTTTGGTTGGAATATTTACTCAGCCCTGAGTGCCTGTCCCCAGCACCCCCACCTCCATGGGCGATCCTTTCCTGCCTTCCTTTCATAGTTAGATGTTGTCCTGGAGACCAACCTGGCCACCATCCGGGTGCTGGAGAGTGTGCAGAAGAAGTTGTCTCGGATGGCGCCTGAGGACCAAGAGAAGTTCCGACTGGATGACTGTCTGGGTGGCACATCGGAGGTGATCCAGCGCCGTGCCATTCACCGCATCTATGGTGACAAAGCCCCAGAGATCATCGAGAGCCTCAAGAAGAACCCTGTCACTGCTGTGCCTGTCGTTCTGAAAAGGTGCCCTCTGCTCCTGGCCCCCCACCTGCTTGGGCCCCAGGGGCTCATTAGTACTGTTGTCACAGGCATATCTTCAAAGGGCCCCAGGGCCTGGGCTGGCACTGTATTTCCAGTCTTCTTTCATTCTCTGTGCACTCCCGTGAGGGAAGCACAGTGAACACTGTGTTCTGCCTTGAGCATTATCATATCCAAATCATATCTATATCTAGCATGTTCTGCCTTGAGATTATCATATACAATTATTTGTGAATTTCAAACTATTTCAAAACACAGCAGCACCCTGTACACCATGGTGTGCCTGTTACTTGCTAACATGTCTCAGAGGCCTCCCTGCACCATTATTGATGAAGTAGCTGCCTCTACTGGTGCTGTGCTTGGCACTGGGGTGGCAGACTGAGCAAGGCCAACACTGTCCTTCCCTTGTGGAACTCAGAGTCCAGCAAGGGCGCCCCATGGTTTGTTTAACAACCACATGGAGTGTGGTCAGGGTCCTGACCAGGGCAGGAAAGACATTGAGGGCAGCAGTATTGGAGAAACCATAAAACCAGCCTAGTCACTTCAGTGGGCCTCGTTCCCACTTTCCTGCTTTATTCATCATGGAACCCACTACACAGTCGGGCTGGTCTCCTCCTGAGATTGGGATGCATTGGGCCAGGGCTCTGGGTGGAAGACAGGTCGGCCCTGGGAGGGGTGACTCAGGCTGTCCCCCTGGGATACTCCCAGGCTGTCCCGGGCTGAGTCCCTCTGCCCCCTGCAGGCTGAAAGCCAAGGAGGAGGAGTGGCGGGAGGCGCAGCAGGGCTTCAACAAGATCTGGCGGGAGCAGTATGAAAAGGCATACCTAAAGTCCCTGGACCACCAGGCCGTGAATTTCAAGCAGAATGACACCAAGGCCCTTCGTTCCAAAAGCTTGCTCAATGAGATCGAGAGTGTCTATGATGAGGTGAGGCCTCCTTGGGCAGGTCTGAGCAGGCCTCGGGTGGGTTGCCGTACTCTGTGCCTGTTTCCCCAGCATCATCCTGCCAGGGCTGATAGGGATAAGTGCAGACATTTCTGTGACCTCAGCCTCTGGCCAACCTGGAGAAAGGATAGAGGATGGTAACAGCCCTGTCATTGTCAGCAGGGACTCCCAACGCCCCCGCTCCCCACACACACACACATGCACGCTCAGGCACAAGTGCATGCATGAGCACACACACACAAGCCAGGGCCTCCGTGGCCCTTCCTGTAGGTGACTCTACCTGTTTACCCAGTGTCACCCTACCAGGGCTGCCATAGGTTTGAGGACAGATGTTTCTGTGACCCCAGTCTCTGGCCAACCTGGGAGAAGGCTGGAAAGTGGCAGCAGCTCTGTCATTGTCAACAAGGGTTCTTAATACCAACCCCACACCGTCACCACCGCCGCCACCCCCCCCCCCCACACACACACACACACACGCTGTTCTGGGAGAAGGCTGGAAAGTGGCAGCAGCTCTGTCATTGTCAACAAGAGTTCTTAGCTCCCCTCCCCTCTCCCTACCACCACAGCCTCCCCCACACATACACATGCAAGCCTTTCCCATAGCAGCTTTCCTTTCTCTGCCACTGACCTAAGACCAGGCACTGTTAGAACCCTCAGCAGAAACATCCACTCTGGCTTACAGATCTTATTGTGCAGTTGTCCTCATTTTAGCATTGAAGAAACTGAGGCCCGAGAGGAGGCTGCTTGCCAGGGTCACAGGAAACTAGGTCTCCTATTGTACCACCTCCAGCCTCCAGCCAGGCCCTCCTGCTAGCATTGGTGCATACAGGTTTCTAGGCCTGAGCCAAAGAACTGATGCCAGGCCAGGCTCTCAGGCCTCCAGGTACATGGGTAATGGGAGGTTGGTCCATTTGGTCCAGATCAGAGTGTGATGCCAACAGATGCCCCAGGCTCCTACTTTGTAGCTCTACCCTAATGCTACCTCTCCCGTGTTTGCTTCGGCAGCACATATACTAATGCTACCTCTCCCCTAGCACCAGGAACAGCACTCAGAGGGCCGCAGTGCCCCCTCCAGTGAGCCGCACCTCATCTTTGTGTATGAAGACAGGCAGATCCTGGAAGATGCAGCTGCCCTCATCAGCTACTACGTGAAGCGACAGCCGGCCATCCAGAAGGAGGACCAGGGAGCCATCCACCAGCTGCTGCATCAGTTCCTGCCCAGCCTCTTCTTCTCACAGCAGCTGGACCTGGGTGCATCAGAGGACTCTGCTGATGAAGGCCGGGGCAGCCCTCAGGGGCAGAATGCAGACCTTGGTGACCGGAAGAAACCGGCACCTGAGCAGCAGGGCAGCTCCCCGGAGGAGAAAGGAGCTCCAGGGGAGGCGCCAGCTGCCGAGCAGCCATCACCACTGCATAAGCCGCTGGATGATGTCTACAGCCTCTTCTTCGCCAACAACAACTGGTACTTCTTCCTGCGCCTGCACCAGACCCTGTGTTCCAGGCTCCTGAAAATCTACCGTCAGGCACAGAAGCAGCTTCTGGAGTACCGCGCTGAGAAGGAGCGTGAGAAGCTGCTGTGTGAGGGCCGCCGTGAGAAGGGCAGCGACCCCGCCATGGAGCTGCGGCTGAAGCAGCCCAGTGAGCCCAGGGGACATTTGGGAGGGGGCAGGCCAAAGCATCTTAGTGAGCTGGGTAGGGACCTGGAGCGGGGCAAGTAGCTATGACCAAGCACCCCAAAGGTTTGGGTTCCCAGCCTGTATCAGAGAAGTCAGTTGTATTTTTACTGACTTTTCATTTGAAGTAATTATCTTAGATGAGACATATCAAGTGGGAAGTAGCAAAAACATTCGCCGGTACCTTACATGCTCCCACTGTGGTAGCATGCTGGGTGGGACCAGGGCACCCAGTGTGCTCCCTCCCTTCTGGGTGTGAGGCTGTAGATAGCGTCCTCCTGAGCCTGCCCTCTGGTCCACCCCATGGATTGAAGACCATATTGGGAAGGATGGTGGAAGGAGGCAGAATGTGGCTCCTGTGTTGGTGGAGATGTAGGTGCACCTGGCTGGTAAGTGCCTGTGACCCTAGTGGCTATGCCTGCCTCCCCAGGTGAGGTGGAGCTGGAGGAGTACTACCCGGCCTTCCTGGACATGGTGCGGAGCCTGCTGGAGGGCGGGATTGACCCCACACAGTATGAGGACACCCTGCGAGAGATGTTTACCATCCATGCCTACGTGGGCTTCACCATGGACAAGCTGGTGCAGAGCATCGCCCGGCAGGTAAACAGCCTAAGACACTGGGGTACCCCACCCTCCTCCACTTTGAAGACCCACATGTACACCACTGCCTGCTGTGCTTGTGGCCCCATGATTATAAGTTCCTTTTATTTTTAAATTGAGGTAGAATTCACATAATGTAGAATTCACTATTTTAAAAGTTAGTGATTCAAAGGGAAACCCTATCCCATGAGCAGTAGCTCCCCATCTCCTGGCCCCACAACCTCCTGGCCTCTCACAACCACCAGTCTGCTTTCTGCCTGTATTTGCCTATTCATATGAATGGATCACATACCATGTGGACTTTTGTGTCTGGTCTCTCACTCAGCATCATGTTTTCAAGGTTCATTCCCATCATTTGTGTTTGTGTGTGTGTGTGTATGTGTGTGTGTGTGTAGCATTCCTTTTTATGACTAATATTCCATTGTATGTATAGTCATATGTCACTCAGTAACAGAATGCATTCTGTGAAAAGTGTTATCAGATGATTTCATTGCTTGTGTGAACACCAGAGTGTAATGACAGACCTACATAGTATGACCTACTGTGCTCCTAGGCTAGATATAAGGCCCTCATTGTACATCGTACTTGACCAGAATATCATTATGCCTCTCATGACTGAATACATCACATTTTATTCATTAGTTACCCATTGCTGGACAGTTGGGTTGTTGCCACCTTTTGGTGATGTGAGCAGTGCCACTGTGACATGCACATACAAGGAATTGTTTGAGTCCCCGGTGGACAGACTTTATTGAGGATAATTTGCACCATTGTGAATAACCCTTCCCCACATATCTCCTGGGGGGAAATATCAGTGATGTTTGTCAGTATTGTTTATGGTAGCAGAAGAATTGCCCACAGCTAAATGTCCGCCAGAGGAAACAGGTCACGTAAATATAAACTGCCAAGTCTCGAAGGTCTGGAACATGAGTCCTGCTGGGTTACCACTGGAGTTGTTCAGCTTGACTTGTTTCCTGATTATCAAGTAAGGCTATTCACTTTAAGGCGGAAATGAAGATGGGGAAAGAATAATGGCATTACTTTCCCACCCAGATCCAGTCATTTGAAATATTTTAGAATCTAGAATTATTTCAAGCATTTCCTTCCAGGTTTTTAAAGCATTTTATTGAAGTAAAGCACACATAGAGAAGTGTCCAAGTTCTGAAAATGCAGCTTGGTTGGTTTTCACAGACAGCCCCCCTCCCTTGCCCCCTTGTGTGCACTCCCCATCTATGGGCAGATTCCCTGGTTTCCAGCTGCATGTGAATGGAAGCACACAGCATGTCTGACTGCATACAGGCAGTGTGATTCTGGGAGAACCTCTCTTTCGAGATGCTGTGGCTCCTCCATTCCTCTCCCTGGGAAGGCTCTGGGGAACACGCCCTCACTGGGCCCTTACAACTGTCATGTTTGTCTCCTGGTAGCTGTCCAAGCCCATTTTCCTAGCATCCCTGGGTGGGGTGCCAGTGCGTGCCTCTGCCTTAGAGCTCAGCTTCCTGGTGCATTTGTCACCGCCTAGTGCTTGGGTCAGTGCTTGCCTCAGGGTCTATCTTCCTAGACCAAGGGGACTGTGGGACCACATTGTGACGTTGCATTTCCCCGGTGGCTCATGGGGTCAGCATCTCTGTCCTTCTGTGGCCCTTTGGACACAGGGCTTGTGACGAACCCATCCACACTGCCCTTTTTCCTGACACCCTAACCTCGTCTTACACCGCCTTTGTTTCCCTTCAGGGGCAGGAATGAACCTGCCCCTAGCACTTTAATTAATGCTTTTAAAAAATTCCCCTCTCTAAAATGTATATTGTAGAACTCGTTAAAAATGAAATTAAAAAGAAGATAAGCAGTAAAAATGGAGTTGTGTAGCTGGTGTTGTAAGGGAGCCAGACCCCCAGATGTGGTACCTTAAAGCCTACTGGAAATCCCCTGGGCCAGATGCCTGCAGGACCCGCTCCACATCCTTGTGGGCCGGGTCCATGTTCTTTGCCTCTTTTTTGTTGTTGTTAATTAGCATTGCTTGCTTTCAGTAAGAGCAGCCAGTGTTTATTGGGAAACTTGTGTGTGCCAGCCGCCAGGAGATTCACATGTCCACATGTCATCCTGTTCACCCAACAAAGCGTCATGTGGGGAAGAGCCTGACTTCCTGAGTCTGCCCCACAGCCGGTGCCCCATGCCAGTTCCATCTAACCCTGTGACCCCCACTTGTTTTGTTACTCATTTTTCCCTAAAACTAAATATTTGAAATGTGCTTGTAGGAATTAAAGAAATTGTGTTTATTGCTGAACATGCAGGGAAAAATAACTACCTGCAATAGTGCCACTTTTATATAATTACCATTCCCATTTTGGCACCTTTTTTCCCATACTTTGTGAGTTCTCATACTCAAGCAGGATTTGCATTCTAGTCTAGTTTGGTCTGGTCTAGTTGAACCTGCTTTCTTTGTCTCTGGTCTCCTAGGCTCTGGTCTAGACTAGTTTGCTCTACCCTGAGCTAGTCTGCATCCAGTTGCTGCATCCCTGTGTTGGCTTTGGTGCATGTTCCTAGGTGCAGGGACTCCAGCAGGAGGTGAACACAGGGCTTGTGCTTCACCCCTCCTGGGGGTGCCTGCCCGGCACCCTGAACTCTCCTCCCGCAGCTGCACCACCTGGTGAGCGATGACGTCTGTCTGAAGGTGGTAGAGCTCTACATGAATGAAAAGAAACGGGGGGCTGCAGGTGGGAACCTGTCCTCACGCTGTGTCCGTGCCACCAGGGAGACCAGTTACCAGTGGAAGGCTGAGCGGTGCATGGCGGATGAGAACTGCTTCAAGGTAAGGGGTCAACCACTAGGGCTGGGGTACCAGGAGTGCCTTGTAGGAGAGGGGTGCTGCAATTAGGCCAGTGGGTGGGTCTGAGGTGGACCACAACTCAGCCACTGGCCAGCTGATACCATGTGCTTTTTGGGGCTGCAGGACACTGCCTCAGCCTAGAGAGTGCCTAGTGCAAGGTCCCTTGAAGAAGGATAGGGCCTGAAGCTTGGCAAAGACAGGTCATTGATGACCTTTGACCTTGTCCTGTGCCAGCTGGGCCATCCTGTGACTTCAGGCTCTTCCTCCCCTGGGTCCCCAGGTGATGTTCCTCCAGCGCAAAGGGCAGGTGATCATGACCATTGAACTTCTGGACACCGAGGAAGCACAGACAGAAGACCCCGTGGAGGTCCAGGTGAGACCCAGCCCTGTGTTCTGTGCCTTGTGCACACTGTGGGCCGCCCCATGAGGCCCATGCACATGCCGGCCAGGCACAAACCCAAGTCGTCCACCCAGAGAAACCTCACATGCAGGATGAAAGGTCTCTTTGGAAACCCAAGAGGGGGTGGGAACTGTAGATGACCACTCAAGAGCCAGTGGGTATGTCCCATGGCAGTAGGGCCAGTGAGAGCCAGCCTTACTCCTCCCCCACATCCCTGGCTCCTTCCCATCTGCTGCTGTGACACCCCCATCCTGCTCACCGCGGCTGTGGGGTCTTAGACTCCTGATCCATACTCCCCATGTCTAAATATCAAGAGGGCTCTGAGCCTGATCTCTGACCACCAGGAGGGAACCTGCCAGGCCTGCACTGTATCGTACATTCCTCTTGGTGCCATTGTGTCCGTAGAAGCAGACCTGTAAGCCTCAAGCCTCCTTCACAGCTGGGTCTTACCCTATTGCCCTCACAGCCACCAGTGCTCCTGGCCTACTTCAGGGCACTCCACACAGGAAATGCTTTCCAAAATAAGTGAGGGTGGGGGGCTATACACCCTGCCTCCCTTCTCTTAATTTTCTACAAATGTGGAGGGGCCTTGGTTTTAATGGGGTAGTAAGCAGATGATAGTCCATGGACAAGCCAAGCCACCCAAGGTACACATGGGTGTCCTGTGATCCCCACCTGTTACTTATCCAGCCCCTACCTGGTTTACCCCTTTCTTTACTTGCTATGCAAGTCCTGATGCCCGTTCCTGCCCCCACCCCTGTCTGCTGTCCATGTCAGGCTCCCGCTCCATCCCACCCCCATGTGAACCTATCACAAGATGAATACAGAAAGAACCCAACAGGGATTTAGTCACTCAAATATGACACCAGTCTGAGTCTCCCTAAGTCTTTGGGGAAGTGGGGTTGAATCCCTGGGAGCCCTGAGCTCAGGTCCTGGCTGAGGGCCTACAACCCTGATGCAAGGCTTCACGCTCTTGTCCCTGTTTCCCTGCAGCACCTGGCTCGCTATGTGGAACAGTATGTGGGGACTGAGGGTGCATCCAGCTCGCCCACTGAGGGCTTCCTCCTGAAGCCTGTGTTCCTGCAGAGGTAAGAGGATCCATGGTGGACTCAGGGAGTCCCCTGTTCTTGGTGAGGCTGAAAGACAGTGCATCCTCTATCCGAGAGCACTTATTGGACACCTGATATGTACCGAGGTATGGTGCTGCCCTCCTGAGGCTTACAGTCTAGGGTGACCAGAGCTACACGTGAGAGCAGTCCCAAGATGATGAGGTCCACGCTTATCAAGGGAATCCACTCTGCCCGAGAGATCTGAGACCCCAGATGCATAAGTCAGAGGAGGAGGTGAGAGCCTAGAGGGAGAAGCTTCCAGAAATGGCAGTTATCAAGTCAGGGGCAGGGGTGACCACCATATCAGGGTTTGGGACTTTATGATCAATGGGGGCCATTAGTGGGTGTTTAGATTTGAATGGGGACCACTTTCCAAGTGGGAACCAATCTGGGGGAGCAGTCCCAAGGGTCCCGGGCTCATTGATAGGAATTAATGAGGGTCCCTAAGCAAGGAGGGGTTTCAGGAAGGAGGGAAGCTTACCAGATGTGGAGGGAAAGGAGACCCAGGGGAGGAAGCTCCTGCTGGAGGAACCAGAGGAAGAAAACGCAGGTGGCTAGAAGTTCCTGGGGGGAGCAGATTGGTGGGGGCTCCATATTGCCAGCACCAGGCAGGACTAAGGTTTGTTTTTGCTGCATTTGAGGTTGGGTGACAATTTTTCGGGGTTCCAGTTTGCATTTCCCCAACATCTGGGTAATTGGACATATTATGGGTCTCGAGGATTTCCTACTCTGCAAATCTTCCTCTCACCCCAGGAACCTCAAGAAGTTCCGAAGGTGGCAGTGTGAGCAGGTGCGGGCCTTACGGGGGGAGGCCAAGAGCTCCTGGAAGCGGCTGGTTGGGGTGGAGAGCGCCTGCAATGTGGACTGCCGCTTCAAGCTCAGCTCCCACAAGATGATGTTCATCGTGAACTCTGAGGACTACATGTACCGCCGTGGGACCCTCTGCCGCGCCAAACAGGTGCTCCTCTGCCCAGCCCTTGGTCATCTGGGAGTGTCTACCCCCAGAGATCCAGCCCATCACCATCTGTGGGTTCCTGGGTCCTGAGATCCAGCCCATGGCTGTCCTGGGTACCTGGATGTCCTGACTCCCTTCCTCCCTGCCCCCTGCAGGTGCAGCCCCTGGTCCTGCTGCGGCACCACCGGCACTTTGAGGAATGGCACGGCCGCTGGCTGGAGCACAACGTGACAGTGGAAGCAGCCAGCCTGGTGCAGGACTGGCTGATGGGTGAGGAGGATGAGGACATGCTGCCCTGCAAGACACTGTGTGAGACAGCGCATGTGCACGGCCTGCCGGTCACCCGCTATCGCGTGCAGTACAGCCGCCGCCCCGCCTCGCCCTGACACTCCATGGCACCACCTCAAGGTTCGGCCTGAGTATATATCAGGCGTCTCCATGAACAACCTGCAGGAGGAGAGGATTCCCAGCCTTGCTGCTGGGCTGCAGCCTCCAGAAACGGGGAGGGGCATGCTGGCCTCCATCCTATGCTGTCTTCCCCTCAGCTTGCAGATGTGCCAAACCTGAACCCTGCACTTGAATTCTGGGGACTCTGTCCCCACTGTAAGTGGGAGGATCAACACGGGGCTGCGGAGCAGGGATTGCATTCATGTCCCTGACTGGCCCTTCATATGTGCCAAATCCCTAGGCAGGGTTACCGGTCCTTCTGTGCATACGGTTTCTAGAAAAGTCAGTGACAAGCCATTCAAGGGCACTCATGGGGGGTTGGGGGTGGGGTGGGGCAGTTATCAGTGTTCAAGAGACCCCCATCATGGAAGGAGTCGACTCAGTTGGGCCTGCTTGAAAAACATGTCCTTTCCAAGTGGTTCTGAGAGCTTCTGGAATTATCACCTGCATCTGACCGTTTGGGCATTGACTTGGCCCAGCTGACCCTGGGGGTCCTTAGTCACTTTAAGGCCTGAGAAGCCCTTCCATCCAAACTGTTGGGATTTCACTTTTACATCAAGACATGGAGTGGGCTGGGGACACCAGAACTGCCTGGAAGATCCCACTCTGGGATAAAGAAAGGCCAAACCCCACATTGATTCTACAGTCAGACTTGGGGTTATTAGGACATGATCTCCACCAGATGTTCCTACCAAGCTCATGGGCCCCACACTGGAGGACCCTGGATATTCTATAAACATATATGCACACACATATTTATTCCTTCTCACTCCCTTAGTGGTTGTAACTTTGCAACAGCCAGGTCTCGCAGCTTCTTTGGGTGAAAGTCCCTTTCACGGAACTCCGCATGTCACCCTTATATCCAGGTCCCATAGCTGCCACCGGGAGAGGTGTGGCATGAGGGACTCACAGTCAGTCTCCTGCAGAGGCATCGAAGGCTGCTGTGCCACTGCCACCAACCTGTACCATGAAACCTCTGGTCAGACCCCTGGCTCAGAGAGGTGACCCACGACTGTGAGCCTGGAACAGCCCCGTGCAGCCCTCATCCTGAGAGCCAGCAAGTGGAGACATTTCTAGAAGTTACCTGTGGGACTCAAGGTTGGTGAAACCTTGACTCTTAGGTCTGGGCAATTCCGGGCCAGTCTGTCCCACTAGGGTCTCCTGCCTGTGTTTCCTCAAGTGTAGCCCAGGCACTTTGGGCATCTTTGTTTTGTAAGAAGGGGATTCTTGTGCGGATCCTGCACCAGACCCTTGGCAGCCTGCCTCCTGGGGACCCCCTGTCTGTGCCTCAAATGGACTGGATGTGATCAGATCCCACAAAGTCCCCAGCTATCCAACCCCATCCTCCCCCTCTCCCCCCCCCAGCATGCTTCTAGGGAGCGCCTCTCATTTTTTGAAGAATTTCTGTTCCAGGCCTTGTACTTCCTTTGCAGCTGTTTTGAATGTAGTTTTCCTTTTCTATTTATTTGCACATTAAACTGAAAAGGTGAATATTGATGTAAAGCTGAAAAGGTAAATATTGATGTAAAGCTGTGAGGTTCCCGCAGTCGTTTCCTTAAGGCAGTTTCTCCCAGCCAGGTTGGGGGGTTAACTCTGCATGTGCACTAGCAGTTGCCACACCCCACCTGCAGAGCCTCGCAGCTTCACTGCACATGTGCTTGGGTTCCTGGTCCCATGGAGGCATTGTTCCACCCAGAGAATGTCTCGGATATTCATTCCCAGCTCAGTTTTAGTTTTCAGTGAAAATAGGAGGTGTCTTCTTCAAGTATCATTTTGCACAAAACCCAGTTAATACTGTGGTGTTTGCTCTGAGCTTTCTCAACTTCTGTGTGTCCAACCACGCCAGCACAGGATCTCCTAGCCCCACAATACCACTCTCCCAGCTCTCTGGCCTCCCCTCCTGGCAGGGACCACCACCGTTTCCTCTCACCCTCTGAGTCTGTGCCATCACTGTCACCTGAGCTTCAGAGCTCTCCACCAGGCCCTGCCTTTCAGTTGCCTCCCGGGAAGTTCTCTGGAGCCCACCTCCCTCCAGAGAAGGGTGCTTTTGGGCACTTGGTGAGCAGGCTTGTGCTGCCTCAGAGTTTTTACTGGGCCTACATCAGGGTGCACAGGGCCCCCTCCATACCCACAGCCAGGCCTGCCTTTGTCAGCAGCACTGAGATGGGAAGGCTAGGGTGCTCCTGGGAAGGGTGCTGGGGTCTAGGAGTCTTAGTGGCCACAGTGATGTGCAGAATTCTGAGATGGCCATGGAGTCCCACAAGGATGGAAACTCCCCCCACCCCCCCTCCCACCCCCGCCAAAGAGTCCCGCCTTTGTGGGTACGACAAGCTTGGAGGGAAGGTATTTCTGGCCCAGAAGATGCCAGCTCCATATTAGGTAAAGGGGCCTGGCCAGTAACACCCAACCTGCACCATCGTGAGGCCCTCAGCAGAGCACCCACCCAAGGAGGCTCCGGATCCTCAGAACTCAGTTGCTCTAAGCCCTGAGTCTGTGGATCAGACAGCAGCAAAGAGCAACCCTGGTCAATAAAGCTGTCCTGCCTCCTCTGTGAGCAGGGACAAGGTGGGTTGCCCTCCCTCCCCCTGCCCAGCATGGTGGAGGGGTGATGGTGGAGGGTAGGGGTGCTGGAGGGGTCAGTAGGGTGGAAATGCAAACCATCTGGAGTTAGGGGCTAAACCAATGACCTTGGGTATGACCTTGCTTCCCTCCCACCCCACCCTGGATTCACACATCCTCTCAGGCTGTCCAGAGGAGGTACATTTGTAGGTGCCTCTGGCTTCAAAGTACAACATAAAGGAAACACAATTTCCACAAAGGCAGCTAACTAGGAACTCTTGAGCTGAAAGGATTTGAGGTGCTCTGACTCTTCCACAGACCCCCACCTTCCAATGGAGAGTGAAGTGGAGGAGAGGTGGTGGGGAAAGATCACTTGGGAGGGGGTGTACGCCTAGGCTCCAGGCTGGGCTGGAGGGTGAAAAAGTCACTGACTGAGGTTCGTTTGCCTTTTTTGTTTGTCACTATTTAAAAAGGTTCTAAATTTTGATAAAATACACATAAAATTTACCACATTAACCACTTTAAGTGTAGCAATAAAATGTGGCAATAAAAGGCATTCACATTAAGGTGCATCCTTCACCACCCTCCATTCCCAAAACTTCCTCATCTTCACAAACCCAAACTCTATCCCCATTAAACAGTCCCCCAGCTGCGCCTCCCCACCCACCCTCCTTTCTGCCTCTAAGAATCTCACTCCTCCAGGCCGCTCATGGGAGTGGGGTCACGCAGCATCTGGCCTTGTGTCTGGCTTATTTCACTCAGCACAGTGTCCTCAAAGTTCACCCATGTTGTGGCCTGTGGCAAAATTCCCTTACTTTTTAATGCCTAATTTAAACATGAGTTTTTGTGGAAAGTGACACACAGTAAAAAAAAAAAAATCCATCAGTACAAAAAAACATGTAGAGAAAAGTAGGCAGCCAAGTCAAGTCCTTTCCCAAAGGCGACTGCCCCCAGCATCGCCCACAAGGTGCCCCCCATAGCTGGTCAGCTGATTGGAACAGTGTGGGCACGAACAGTCCTACTCGACATATTTGGCGCTGGCACAGGGTCATTTCTGTGGGGGATGGGTTGATGGGCATAACCCCCCCTCCCTGCCATGCTGCCTGGAGCACCCCTGTCCAGATGTCTTCCTACGCTCCATGTCTGCATACATTCCTAGACACGCATGCGTGAGTCACACTGCTTCCCTCCCAGGGGCTCCAGTCACCAGGTACTGCCAGCATGGGTTTCCTGCTCTGCCTTCTGCTCCTGGTTTTCCTGTGCACCAAGGGCATCATGGGTCATATGTCACCAAGACATTGGTGTGGGGCTGAATGTGTTGTTGGTGTAGGTGGAAATGGCTCAGAAATGGGGGAGAGGATACCTGCCCCAGCTGGAGCTCTCTGGACCTCGTGACCCGGGCTGGGGGGTGGGGGGGGCAGGGACTCAGCACCTCAGCCTCCATGAGTGACTGCCTTTGTCCAGGCAGGACTGCTCAGTCACTTCCTGGCTCGACCCTGTATCCCCAAGTGTGTGACAAGATTAGGGTTTTCTGCTCCGGGCATGGCCACATCGACCCCTCTGCCACCCCTAGCTCATCTCTTCTCCCCTACCCCCACCCATGGAGTCCTGCTGTTCCCAGTCCCTCCCCTAGCCCAGGCCTGGCCACAAAGGACAAAGGATCCCCAGAGTGTCTAAGTCCTCTCTGGGGGCTGGAGAGGCATTAGAGGGACTGTGTTTAGGATAGAAAAGGAGCCTCAGTTTCTTCATCTACACAGCAGCCCACCTCTGAGTGGACAGACATGGAGGGGCCAGAAAGGGAGGGCCCTGGGGAGGGTAACCTAGGGGTCCCTCTGACCTGGATGTGCCTGGCACCTGTCTGGGCTAGACATGGCATGACCACAGCCTCTGGTCACACCTGGGATCCCCCATTTGCGGATGGAGCCAGGGCACCAGAGGAAGGGGTATGAGAACCGGGAATAGGCGTCTCCCAGCAGGAGCTCCCCTCAGGCACCCAGGCCAGCATATGGTCAAGGGGCTCTGGCTGAGGGCTGACAGCCCTCAACTATCTTCAGCAGATCCAAAGCTGTCTAGGTATCTCCCATCTCTGCCCAGGGGACGGTGCGGGGCTTGGGTGAGGCAGCAATAAGGCAAGGCAGCTCCACAGAGGCCCTGGAGAATTCCACTGGGGGTGGGAAGTGGGGGAACTCATTCACCTGACTTCTGGTGTGGGGAGGGAGGACTCTCCTGCTTGCCAGAGAAACGAGGTGAGTGGAAGCTCATGAAGAGCCAGGAAACCCCAGGGGAGGACATGAATGGCTGGCTTCTCTGGTCAGCAGGAAGAGGCCACTTATCCAACAGAGGCTTCCTGCAGCAGACAGGGGCTAAGGAAAGAGGCTGTCACCTGGGACATTCTCCCCCATCCTGCTGGCCTAGTGCTACCCCCACTCCAAGAGACACCTCTGGCAAATTGAGTGACCCTGGCCAGCCACCAGGTCTCCTCAGACCATGCTGCAAGCCTCCCTTGGCTCACTGGGGGCAGGGGTGTGCCCTACTGGTTTATCTCACCCAGGCTTTTCACTCCTCCCCAGACACTCAGGAAGCGGGGGTGGAAGGGGGACCAGTGGGGGTGGCAGTGTTTAACCCGGCAGGAAGCCCAGGTCACAGCCTCTGCCCAGAGCTGCTCGTCCACCGCCAGCATCATGCGGGGGCTCCTGCTGCTGTGGCTCTTGGCGCTGGGGCTGGGCCTGGAAGGTGGTCTCCAAACCCACAGTCTCTACGACGAGGGTGGGAGCACAGGTGGAGACAATGGTGAGTGACCCTAGGTCCTGCCACTAGGACTGGGGGTGGCCGGGACATCAGGGAGCTGGGAGGGGGCCCAGATCTGGGATGGGAGATGGAGTTGGTGGGAAGGTCCTCCATAGAGGCGTTTATGTCCAGTTCTGTCCCACCTGACAATAAACTCCCAGACTACAGCCCTATGGAGGGACCAGCTGGGAATCTGGGTAACTCCTGGGCTCAAGGACCTCCATCCCCTTCCCTCCTCCAGACAGCGCAGTAGAGTCTTCGGCCAGGCACCAAGGGATACATCCCGGCCTGCGCAGCTTCCCTGGCCAGATCTGCACCAATGACAGTGACAGCCTGGACCTCTCTGACAGCTCTCGGGCGCTTCTGCTGGGCTGGGTGCCCACCAGGCTGGTGCCTGTGCTCTATGGCCTGGTCTTGGCAGTGGGGCTGCCCACCAATGGCCTGGCACTGTGGGTACTGGCCATGCGGGTGCCGAGGCTGCCCTCCACAGTGATGCTGATGAACCTGGCAGCTGCGGACCTGCTGCTGGCCCTGTCACTGCCACTGCGCTTTGTCTACCACCTGCGGGGCCAGCGGTGGCCCTTCGGCGAGGCTGCCTGCCGCCTGGTCACAGCTGCACTCTACAGCCACATGTATTGCTCTGTCCTGCTGCTGGCTGCCATCAGCCTGGACCGCTACCTGGTCGTGGTGTATCCGCTGCGGTCCCGAACCTTTCGAGGCCGATGTCTGGCCACTAGGCTCTGTGCTGCAGCCTGGCTGGTGGCAGTCGCCCTGACCCTGCCCCTGATGCTGCAGCGGCAGACCTTCCTCCTGTCACGCTCTGACCACATGCTCTGCCACGATGCGCTGCCCCTCGGCGACCAGGCCACCTATTGGCGGCCGGCCTTTATCTGCCTGGCCGTGATAGGCTGCTTCTTGCCGTTGTTGGTCATGCTGCTGAGCTACGGGGCCACCCTGCGCATGCTGGCCGCCAGTGGACAGCGCTACAACCACGCGCTGAGGCTGACTGGGCTTGTTCTGGCCTCAGCGTTGGCCTTCTTCACGCCCAGCAACGTGTTGCTGCTGCTGCACTACTCGAACCCAGGCCCAGAGGCCTGGGGGGACCTGTATGCCGCCTACATGGCCAGCCTGGCGCTCAGCGCCCTCAACAGCTGCGTGGACCCCTTCGTCTACTACTACGTGTCAGCCGATTTCAGAGCCAAGGTGTGGGAGGGGCTATTCCGCCGGGAACCTAGCACCACCTCCAACTCCCGGGAAGTGGGAGGCGCAGGGACAGGCACCCGGTCCTCTTCACTTGTGTGACCACCCCGCAGAAGATGGGGTGTCCAAGGAGGGGACTGAATGGGGTTGATTAGCCTCAGAAAGTGAGTTGACTTGGAAATAGTGTTTTTACAGGTGTAATTACTAAGACAAAGGCCACATTGGAGAAGGTGGGCCCTAAATCTGTCAGGACTGGTGTCCTTATGAGGATACAGGGACACACATCATGTGATGATGGAGGAAGAGGTGGAGTTGATGCAGCCACAAGCCCAGAAATGACTTGGACTGCTGACACCTCCAGAAGATAGGAGAAGGCTGGCCAGATTTTCCCTCCAAACCCCTGGAAGGACTAAACACCCACACCTCCATCTCCTCATTTCCAGAGGCCCAGATTCCAACTTTCTAGGGTAGGTTCTAGGTTTGGGGGCATCTCCTGAGCACTCTGCTCCCCAAAGCCTGGTGCAGCCCATCCTTGGGAATTGTGGGCCCAGCATCCCACTGTCACTCATTCTACAAGGCAGCCACCTCATCCTCCACCCGTGGTCTGGTTGCTCTTCTCACTGGATGTTAACTTCCTGTGGATCAGGTGGGTAGGGCAGGGGGGCTGTCCAGGGACGGGGACTGCAGATCTTCAAACTCCACCCCAAGTGGTCTGCGGTCTGCTGAGTCAAGTTGTGTCTGCAGAGGGCAGTGCAAGCATCCCCGCAACACATGCAGCACTCCCAACTCTGGCGAGGAGTATGGAGTGTTGGTGAGAGCCACGGAGACCTCAAAACCCTCAAAATGCAGTGAAGCCATTCCTGGGCTTCTCATTGGGCCCACACATCTCTGGTCTGGGGAAGACAGAGCCGGTGAGCCTGGTGCCCCAGGACACAAACACCCTGAAAAGCTGGGCAGCATGAGGAAGAGCAGCCAGTCCATCCCTCTCAACAGACTGCTGTGGTGATGTTGCGGTTTTCCAGGATGTGACCAATGGGGGGCGCCAGGTGAAGGGCAGCGGGACTTGTCTGTATTGGCCTAATTTCTTATAAATGTATGAGTATCTATGATTATCTCAGGGTGCAGGTATTTGAAACCCCCCTCCCACCCCCTCTGAAGATTGGGCTGTAGATGAAGGACTGAAGGTGCAGGGGCCTGATGGCAGTCACCCACAGGGGCTTCAGCCCCATCCCTGACTCTGGAACCAGCTGTTATTACACCAGCGGTCTCTCCTGTAAGTGGCTTAGTCCTGATGAGACAGTGCTGCCTGATGGAGGGATCCCTTTCTGGCCTGAGAGCCAGGATGAGCAGCATTAGCTGAAACAAATAAACGCCGTGGAGAGAGGGAGAGCCCAGGCTGCCAGGAGGGGGCTGGCCCTCCAGGTGGGCTGCTGGGAGATGAGAGCCACAGGGTTGAGACTTGCCCTGGGCCTGTTCCAGAGGCAGGAGCTGAACGTGCATTTGCAAGAATTCGGGGCTTTCCCAGAGTCTGGGGCTGTCCCCACCAAACGATCAGGGACTTCTGTGACAAGACAGCAGTGTAGGGGCCCCTGGGGCAATTTGGGGTCTAATCTGAGGACTCAGTGCACCTGGGGGTACCCCCTGGGGAGGCCAGGGTTTTGGAGAAAGGCTGCCTGTTTTGTTTAGAAGTTCCTGGTGGATGAATGGATGTCAACTCCTTGGTGTGGCTCGAAGTCGTTGCCCCTCCCCCAACCCCCCAGTGACCCTCCTGGAATGTCCCTACTCTCAGGAGAAAAACAACAGGCTTAGGAGCTGCTGTGGCCAAAAGAGAGGGGGACAGCCAGCCCTGAAACTGGGGCTGGGGTGCCTATAGCTCCATCTGCAGCTGGGTGGGGACTGGGGTCGCAGGGGGCCTATCATATGGCAGATCTCTGCATTCTGGGTTTACTTGGAGGCAGGGGTCACCTGGGGATGAGTTGCTAGGCAGGTCTCCATCAGCAGTCCCCTCCAGGCGGGGCTGATGAGGACAGGACACAGTCAGAGCACTTCCTCCTGGTGGGACGGGGGTGGCTGTCAGGAAGAGAAGTCACTGACTACTGGGGAAGAAGGACACTACTGGCTGCCAGACCAGGGGGACGGTGAGTCCCTGTGGCTCAGCCCACAGCCTCCTCCCGTTAAGACAGCAGATCTCCACCAGCGAGGGGACAATGCCAGCCAGGCCCCTTGGGAACCCACCCACCCCCACCAAGCCACTGTGATAGGTGGGGTTGCTGGAGTCCCGTTTGGGACCAACCATCTTCCCAATCGAAAACGCTCTAGAACTCAATTCTGCAGTGAGAGGGGGGAGGATGCAAAGGGGGGGCCCTTGGTGGCCAACAAAGGCAGCATGAGAGTGACCAAGCATTCCTGAAATGACCATGAGTGGTTGTGAGGGGCAGGAGGGAGCAGCGGGGCGTGGCCATAAAGCTCAGCTCCCAGGATCCTCCAGTGACCCCATCCTGCCTCTAAACTGTGGTCAGGATTATATACATTTGGGGGCAACAACATTCAACTAAACAAATACATACACACACACACACACACACACACAAGAGTGTGTGGAAGTAGGAACTAGATGGGTGGATTCATCCCCTCACTTTCCTGGTGCAACCCTACACTCTAATTTTGCAAGCTACTCTGCCCTGTGACTGGATGAAGGGCAACCTCACTGTTCTTTCTTACGACTGCATGCTACCCTATGATTATGACAAATTTGAAAGTATCACAAAAATCCTCTTTCCAAACAAAAACACAAAAACAGAGCAGACCTCTTGGAAGGCCCTAGAGACCACTGGCAGATGGGGAAGAGGATACACCAGGGAGAGTTTAAAGCCGCCCACATGACAACTAGGCTGGGGGATGCGCAAGGACATGTGGATATCAACAGCTTCAAAGCTGCTGTTTTTTTGGCAAAGTGAAACAATAGTCACACCAAGTAGACTGAAAAGCTTTTTTTTTTAAAAGGTTTATTTATTTATTTATACAAGAACTGGGGTACAGGCCAGAGGTGTGGGGAGTGAGAGGATTCACTAGAGACAGAGTGGGGAACAGAACAGGCAGACTGACTGAAACACACCACTGAGGGGAGCAGCGGGTGAGCCAGGAGAGGTCTGCTGCGCCCTGTGGGTAGCTCCCTGGCCGGCCGGGGAATCAAACTCATGCTGCGGTGGCTGTGAATAGCTTCATGGGTTGCGTCTTAATCCCTTGCGCCACTAGGGAGGCCCGGACTGAAAAGTTTCAGGACATATATTGTATGTAATATCTAGAGTGACTACTAAAAACTAATGCCTAAATGCCCACAGCTGGATTTACATGGTATTACATGGCCCCGAGGGGGCCCCAGAAGGAGGAAGGGAAGGGACAAAATAAAAATATCGTAGCAGTAGCCAGAATCCAGCCCTAGGGGCAGAGTCAATGCACATGGACAGAGCCAGGCACCTGGTTCAGCTCACACACCCCTGCAGTTCTGGGTTTGTGGGTTCTGGTGGGTGTGCTAAGCGGGGATCAACGTTAGCCTTTGTCATTGATGTGCGGTGAAGGGGTGACCCTGACCCTGAACTGAAGAGACCCTCCTCCAAGGAAGGCAGGGCTCAGATAGAAGCAGCCAAGCGGCCTGAAGCCCCGCGTGCACCAGCCCCCAGGGAAGGGCCCTCACCTGCCTAACTGGTCAACCTGTTGCTTAAACCTCTTGAGTTTGCCATAACTTATAACCCAGAGATACCCGCTCTAGGAAGTCTGCCTAGCAGCAACCTCTCAGCTCGTCTGAGCTTTCAACCAGGCACAGATGTTTGGGCGTATTGCAGTCTCGTAGCAAGAACCCTGAGTGAGTGTAGCCAGAACTCACCCCCTCTTTCACACCTGGTGACCCTGAGTGATCAGGTTCCTCTTACCCCACTACCACCCAGGGTAATGCCTGAGCACCCCGCCTGCCTTCAGAAAGGGTCAGGTGGGGAGGGGTTAGTCAGAAGTCCTTCAACCCCCACTCTCCTGGGTCCCCTTAGTAATTTTCCATCCACTGCCCTCCCAGCTATAAATCCCCACTTTTTCTTATAGTATCTGGAGTTAGGGCCAACCTCTCCATTGCAGAATCTCATTACAGGGATCCCCACAGCCATCTAGATGGCCCCACGATATAAAGTCTTCCTTGCAGTGTGTAACAGGCCTGTCCTAGGGTCAAGTTGCTGGGAGGGCTCGCTCGGCCTCACCCCGCACATATGGGGCCGTTGTCTGAGGTGTGTTGTGTATGGCAGGGGTGGAAAGATCTCCCACGTTGACCCCTCATCTTTACTCTCACTCCATGCCCAGGTCCAGGGCAAGTTCTAGGAAGGGAATGGGGCTTGGCAGCTAAGACCCCGCTCTCAACTGTTCCCCCACCCTCCTCTGCCTTTCTTTGAGAGAGGAGCAGCTGAGGAGCAAGGTGGGGCTTGGTTTCCAGGAAGCCTGGGAGACCCTGTACCAGGATCCCTGAGCACAGCAACCCCCATTTCACAGGGGGAAATATTTAGGCTCAAGCAATTTCATCAAATAAAGGCACTCGCAGATGCAGTAATGTGTGAACAGTAACACAATAGAGTCCGCAAAGGACGCCACCTTTGTTCTAGGGCTGTTCGTGAGCTGTTTCCTGGGGCACACTGTGGCCTCTGGGGTGGTGGTGGGAACAGCTACCCTGAATTCCTGCCCTGACACAGCTGCAGTTTTTGCAGTGCCATAGGGGCTGCAAAGCAGCATCAGCATGTTAAAGAAATCAGGGCGCTGCTGTGGGGCTGCCAGGCCAGCGGCACACAGGCCAGGAGGTGCCTGACCCTCCTGCGGGTGGGGTGGGAAGTGGAGCCCTGGGAGACTGTTCCCCCACTTTCCACCCCACCCCCACCTCCCACCCAGTAGTTCTTGGATGGACATGGGGGCAGTGAGTTGCAGGTGGCGTGGGTGGCTCTCAGCACTTGCTTGCATCCTTCTGGGGATATCATTGCCTGCAGCGCTTGCTTTCAAACTCATTCCTTCTGTTTGAAATTACTATAAACTTTTTAAAAATGAAGTCTGACTACAACAAATCAACCCAGACT